TCGTGGCATGTGAACGTCTTGAGGACTCATGGCGGCGGCCCAAGTTCCTAATTAAGTTTGGTCTGAACAGTTGAAGCAAGTTCACTAGGTAGTCGAAACAGAACAAGTCGTGGCAAAACCTGGGGAAGTAACTTTCGGTGAGATTCTTGTTCGAGCTGAGTTTCCACGCCAAAGTTCAGTACCTGACGTAAAGTTCGAGGCTGGATAAAGATCTATGCATGCTCTATATGCCCACCATTCAAGGCACTGCTAGGTATACATGTATCTACTGATCGCTCCTCGTTCTCAAAGTCCCATTGTTTCACTTAAGCTTTTCACATGAAAATGGTAACTTACTGGTACGTACAGTACAAACGCCCACATGGTGAGGCCCCCGCAAAATCCGACCCACACCTCCGGGCTTCCGAATCGGTCCCCAGATTCTTCTCAGCCGGCCCTTGCAACACCGTTAATTCGTTGTGATCCTGATGGATGCGCAGCTAAACAGAATACATGTTGCCAAGAATCCTTAGACGCAACCTTTTCATGACCGTGTCACCCTGGAATCCGGCCATCTTCCGGTAGGCTTTCCCTTCAGCCCTATACAGCTCGAGGCTGTGCCCCTGTAGGATGTCACATGTGTTCATACTCGTACGTATTCTATTCAACCCTGATGTCACTTCGCCAATGCCAATGAAAAGTTAGATATTCTAGGGGAGGAAAGAAAACTCAGGACCTTGATCCTGAATGACAAAAAGACTTAGGTAGTATAGCCTAAACTTAGGAGACTCTCAGCTAAGTTTATTTTAGCACCCTCTACTAACGTCTTATGTTTTCTTGCTCCCCGAGGATATTGTTGGTGACTTTACTATGTAAACTGTCAAGAGATCATCATTGTACATTGAACGAATTATCCTTTGCAGGAAACATTTACTGCCCATGGCTACCGTGCAAGTGTCTTTGACGGAACCTTGCCGTTTGTCTCAGGCTTGACGCCATTGGCGGCAGCTGGTTGTTCATGTTCGACTTGAATGCCGGCGATGAATGCCGCACTCACCAGCTCGAGTGCCGCGACAAACACACACAAGAAACTGGCGATTGCAAAATGTGTGATCGTTGAACCAATTTCCAGCCATGAGCCCTCATCTTTGACAACCCAGAAAAAGTAGAGTGTCAAAACATCACTGACTGTGAGGACAACCATGAAGAGCGCAGATGGTGCAACACCTAATCTCTTGTTCAGAACTCCCAAGTTCGCTGATATCAGGAAAAATGGAATAATGATCTTGAGAATCAGCAAAGCACCCTGCGAGAAAGGATCAAACACTGGGATGAGCCTCGATACACTTTCCAAGCTAAACGATGAGATGGAAGCGATATTGCCGGTACTGAAGAAGGCTGACTGTAGAAGAACCATGAAGAACAGTGCTATCCGAGCATCTGAGAGGGTCAATGGCCGGAATGTACCCAATTCACGTTTCTGCTGTTCAGCGACAGCTGCCTCGTTCTGAGCCTTGCCCTTTGAGAATGCATGAACCGCGTACTCGAGGCGCACCCAAGCCAATAGAGTGACACTGAAGGCCACATAGAATAGGCCTTCGTATGAAATTGTCAGGATGATGAACGTAGGTGCGCAGGTTAAGAAGATGATTGCAAGGCGATGCATGTAGTGGCTGTTAGGCTGTAGCCGATATGCCAAGGGCATGAGGAGCGACACGACTGATAAATGTTAGTTACATATGACCATGTATCAAATCTGATTGACTCACCCAAGACGACCCAACCGACTACTTGGTTGCCCTTTGGAAGACCGAGCTTGGCTTGCAGTGAAGTGGCACTGGAGTGTGTGACGAGTATCGCAAGTACGATAAGGCCAATCTGAAAAGTGTATGAGCGGTGCAATTCTCATATGCTCTATCATAAATCAAACTTACTTGAGTACCAAGGAGCGTTCGACTTGTATGGAGACGCTTTGATTTGCTTTTGAAAGCGGTGAAATCCGAGAGAATAAAATCTTCAAGAGCCAAGTATGCGAGACCGATGACAGTCATCAATCCACCGCCAATCAAACTTTCTAATTAGTGTCTGTAACAATTCCTGGATTGAAGATGAAGCTTACATTAGGGATACATTTTCGACCTTCATCGCGGGTAGAAGGGTGAAAGTACTCATAGCCAAGCAAGAAAAGAACCACAAGAGGGTCAGGAATCCATGGGACTTCAAGAATGAGACACCCAGCGTCATTGGCCAGAAAGCACCCAAGACAAAAAGCCCAGTCAGGACCTCACGATGAATGTATCCAATGGCCTAGGACTAGTAAGCAAAAGGCCGAGTAAACATGAAGAGAGCTTACCAGAGATTGAATGATACCAAAATAGAGGACGACATTGAAAATCAGCGCTGCAACCGCACCACCAGACTTGACATTGCCAAACAGATTCTTGAAACCTTTGGTAAAGCTGGCTCTTCTAGCATACACCTCTTCCCAAAACAAAACAGGGAAAAATGCATACAGATAGTACGCAGGTGGGGATTCAGAGACGACGAAGGATGAGTAAAGAGCGACAAGTGCTGAGGAAAAAAACGCCGATCCAAGCAATGTGCGTTGAGGGGGAATGCTCTCCTGAACCACATATAAGGAAAGGACGGTGGCGGTCGCATAGGTCATCCATCCTAAATAGCCAACGGTGATCAAAGCACGTAGAAACAACCAGTCATAAGTCTGCAGGTAGCGAAGTCCCTGAAGCCCAATTTCCATCAGAGCGTCTGATTCTTCAATGGCCTCCTCGAATTGACCAGCGTCAACCAAAGAGCGGATGTGAGCAATGCGCTGCTCAGGGCCAAGGTTCTCATTGCTCAGAGGTCCGTAAGCCTGGTAGCGGAGCTCCACGTTTCTCTTGCTCTCTTCCTTTATACGGTATTGCTCAAGAATTACCTGAGCATTGACCAGGGAAGCTTGTGCCTTTTCTTTTATGTTCGCAGATAGGAAGTTCAAAGGAAGTTGCCCCACGCCGTTCGCTGGAAACTCAGCGCCGATAAGATACGACATCAACGTTGCGACATCAGCCTGAGCAACATCATGTCTTCGAACATGGTCCAGATTCCAGTCTGAAGAGTACTCATCATGGCCAGGGGCAATATTGTCCGGATGCAACTCGGGAGTGGCAACTCCCGAGCCCCATGATATGAGAGGAGTTCTGGTATTATTAGGGTGTCCATCGCCATGACTACCCCAGTCTGTCATGCCGTGGTCGGCTGTAAAGACGAACGCAGTCCGGTCATCGGCATAAAAGCCTTCGATGAGCTCTACCATATCCTTCACACCTTGATCAACTACTTTTATATTGTGCAGGTACTCTTTGGAATAAGGCCGGTAAGAGTGTCCAGTAGTATCCAGGCCGAGCAGATGGAGGAAGAAAACCACCTTGTCCTCGCGAAGAGCGGTATTGAGGGTCTCGTTCGTCGCTGCTGCGGCGAAGAAGTCCTTGACATGGTCGAACACCCAGTAATCAAGCTCCGTAGCATCTTTGGAGAAATCCTCAAGCTCAGCTCCATATGCAAATGCATCCACCCTTCCTGGGACAGCACCATGTTGGAACATTGGCAGAATATCGGGACTTCCCCAACTCCAGGTATGTCGACTGCGATTGAAAACACTATCGAAATTAACCGGGTTCATTTTCCATCCTGTCGCAACGGCAGATACATCCTCGTACAAGCCGGCAATGAGGGCCACATGGCCGGGTCGGGATTCCGTTGGCACACGAGTATGCGATACGCCAAAAGTACCATGCTCAAGCACTCGGGAGCGAAGGTAAGGAGCTAGCGGACGAGGGACGAGGTCTTCATCGGATTCGGGGTATGGTTCGGGGTGGGCTTGAAATGCTTTGTCGGCTCGCAAACCGTCGCCTAGACGTACAGCAACTTAGTCGCACTGGCCAAATCACGCGTTCTAATCCAACTTACCAACGAATAGTACAAGGCGATCTGCAGGAGCCTTTGGAGAATCTTCCGTGCGCTCAACATTGAACAATCGCATGCCTGAGACAATCGGGCTGACAAAGTAAATGTCGAAGATGGAAAAGATATAGACCAAATGGAAAGCGACCGCAATGGCCATGAAGCCAATACGGCTGAAACCAGCCATGGCGACGTAATTGATAAGCTCCGGCGCGTAGTTGCAAATATAGACAGTTCGAATGATCGACGATGGGTTGTTCGTTGTAAGTCAGGGTCGTGGAAGACGATGCTATATCAAAATCTAATGGTACCACATAAGTTGAAAGTGCCTTGAATGAGAAGACAAGAAAAATGGAAGCAACAAATATCAAAAGAAACAAGAGGCAGTGAGCAAATCCTCCTTGATCTCGTCAAACAAAGAAGTAATAAGAGACAGTCTCCATTGAGTTGAGTTGCAGGTGGAGGTCAAGACCAGATATAAAACCGTGGCAAGAATTGGAATGACGCTGACGAGGGACGCGTCTATCCGACAAATTAGTGCAGGACCCCATCTGCAGGGGAAATACGCTAGTGGCCCTGCGCTACAACCCCGCTGGCTTGGGCCTGGATGGTCCTCAGCTTTTACACGTGGTTGGCTGCATGAAAGTCTCATTGGATCCAAGCCTCCCGTCCCGTCAATGTAAAATCGAGCCCGGGGCTGGTATTAAATCATATCAGCCAGAGGGCGGGAAACCCAAAAGATTAATAGGCACAAGCGATCGTGAGGGAGCTGGTCCTGGATATGTCAGCCATTCTTCACTAGTCCATGGCCTACCTCACGCACCTTGACAGATATTGGAAGTTAGCAACCTTGATAAACGAACGGTGTCGAGAAACTGGTTACCAACAAGGTTCTCATTGACGCCCATATGGTATCTAAGGTAACCGGACCCTCTATCTAGAATCGTTACTAATCTATCTCCATCGAGTGCTTGCTCGTACACACATAACGCTGAAATAAGTCTTGGGTATCACTAACAACAGGCACATCCTACCGCAACAACGAAAACTAACATATTCTACTATCTGGACAGGTCGTCTGCCAAAGATTTGCTGACCCTCAAGTAGAACTTGGGCGCTTGAGACCTGGGGAAGACAATTTCCTCTGTGAGATAGTCTGGAAGCATTTCCATCAGCTCCATGTCACGTCCAGCGTCTAGCTGTGGTTGATATGTGAATTGCACATCCTCGATGTTGTCTGAAGTATCGTCGTTGTCAACTGTGAGTTTGAAATGAAGGGCTGGCTACAGTCAGTATACATATGGAGCGAGACCATCGACCATTAAACTTACTCCCATTGCGCCCAGTCTGTATGCAATCGAAGGTGTCTCCTATTTCTTCTTGCTTTACACCACGCATGATCAAACCTGTCATATCTGCGTATAGGTTTTCCTTCGCTTGTGCAATGGCTTGTGCAGCGTGTGCAGCCTCCGCCTGTGCTGTGCGATTGGCCGGCCCCGAGGCTTTGATAGCGCTTCCTGGAACTCTGGTGTTGGCATTTCCCGATCTCACAGCGGCCAATTTATTTGAAAGAGTTTTGATTTCTGCCTCGGCTTCGGATAAAGAACTGTTCAGGGTCTCAATGTTGCCCTCCAGATTCTCAGCCTTGACCTCGCTAGCTTCCAGTTGCTTTCGAAGCTCTTCACCCTCCTTCGCCAGGGCAGTCTGTGCAGCAAGCTCGACCTTAAGCTCAGATATAAGCTGCGTAGCAGCTGTGGGAGTCAGTACAATGTGCGGCGCAGAGGAGTTCTTGGATGAGACTTACCCATGGTTCGCTCTTCAGCTTGTTTCTTAAGTCGATCGAAATTCCGCTCGGCTTCTCGAATGCCAACCTCACGTAGATCCCGATGGCGCATCTCGAGAGCCTCGTACTTCTTGGTGAGTTCCCCCAGCCTTCTCCGTAATGCGGCGTCACTGGTACCATAGCTAGACCATGACTCCAAGGGCTCAGCCGTTCCTGTAACAGAGTCGCGATCTTCGTCTTCTTCCGGTACGGCGTCAAGTTCCATAACTTCTTCTGCTTGTGTCTCCGGGATCTCTTCAATGGGTGTGGTTGGTTGTCGCGGGGGTCGACCACGTCGCTTAACAGCACTTTCAGGAGCAAGTATTGAGGGCTCGCCGTTCAGTTTCTTTGGGCGCCCGCGCAGCCCCCTTTTCGTCTCAGTCGCGGGAACACTTGGAGGAACTCCAATATCTTCAAATGTGACCGTTTCATCTGGGGCGAGTTGTTTGGTCTTGCGGCCTCTTTTCGTGGCACCATCATTGATTTTGCTCGTGGCAGCGGGTTGCGCAATTACTTCAGGTACATAGGCGAGCTTATCGGTGCTGTTTCGACGCGTCGTTCGAGGTGCTGTTTTGATTACCTTGCTGGCCGTTCCTGGTGGTCGACCGCGGGGCTTCTTTGTTGTACTCATGGTGCGCACAACTGCTTGAAGCTCAGATTGATCAAACATGTCTAGATCGGGTTCTGAATCTGAAGCCACGAGTCCAGCAAGGCCTGTTGCAGGCTTTGCGCGCGCGCGTGGTGGCATGGTTACTTGTGTCGGTGGTTGCGGATGAATGTGTCGCACAAGCACGCGCAAGAGAAGCAGTTACAAAATAAAAATACCCGAGGAATAGGGACAGCTGAAGGGTTAAAATCGAAGAATGCGCGACTACAATGGCATGGATATCAATGACAATTATTGCGAGTGATGGGCGGGGATAGTAATGCCGGAGGGGACAAGTCCAGATCAATGTTGAATATTGGGATCTCATTGCGGTACCATCCATGTAAACAAATGGGCTTAGAGACATCCATGGATCTATGGTCCGTGCTTTCACTGGCGCTAGCCGCCACTTACCGGTAACAACGGGATGTCGGGCGGGCATGTGCCAGCGCATTAGGTTCCTGCCGAAACGCGCATATTGATTGATCTTCCATTTTAACTATTCTTCAAACACCGAATTCCAGCCTTCGACCTTTAGACCTCTCAACGCCTTTCCAGGTGACGCCGGCAAAGGCGATTTTTTTGTTGAACTGGAGCATCTACCACCAATTGCAACTTGATTATCGCGTGGCAGCCATCGCCCTCTTGCCACCTGCTCTCCTGGTCATCTCATGCCATCCGAGTCAGCCCCTTGGCTGCGCTGGGTCCTCGGCATGGGGGAACGACGTAAGCTTGGCGATGTCGCCATGGACATATTGCTCTTTGCGGGCATGGTAAGTGCAATATTTCTAAATTCGCTGTTGAATGCGAGGGCATCGTGCTCACAGAAGTCTGTTAGATGACGGCTGGCCTCTATGTGGCTCGAAATTTCCTCAACCCTATCCTGAGCAACATTGCCGACCCCGATAAAGAAAAACACGAACAAGCCAGACGCCAAGCTAAAGCGCATCTTGAGCGGCTAAATCGACACAAGAAAGACGGACTGGATTATGGAGATGACAGCGATTCGAGGACGGGGCCACGACCGGAGGATCTGGTCTTGAATGAATACGAGAACCTGGTTGCACTTGAAATGGTCCCTCCTGAGGACATCTCTGTTGGGTTTGACGGTGAGTGAGCTTGCAGGTTGAGGCCTTATACCTTTCCCTGTAATTCGCTAACAATCGCAGACATCGGCGGTCTGGATACGATTATCGAAGAACTGAAAGAGTCGATCATATACCCTTTGACGATGCCTCACCTTTACTCTCACGCCGCACCTCTACTCTCTGCTCCCTCCGGTGTTCTTCTATACGGTCCTCCGGGTTGTGGAAAGACAATGCTCGCTAAGGCTGTTGCTCATGAGAGTGGTGCTTCTTTCATCAACTTGCATATCTCGACTTTAACAGAGAAATGGTATGGAGACTCGAACAAGATTGTCCGCGCCGTATTCTCCTTGGCCCGAAAGATGCAGCCTGCTATCATTTTTATTGACGAAATCGACGCTGTCCTCGGTACTCGTAGAAGTGGCGAACATGAGGCCAGTGGCATGGTCAAGGCCGAGTAATTCAACAATCACATTTATTTAATTGACACTAACAAAACTTAGGTTCATGACTCTGTGGGATGGTTTGACATCCTCGAATTCTTCAGGGATGCCTGCTCGAATCATGGTCCTTGGTGCGACCAACCGTATCAATGATATTGACGAGGCCATCCTTCGTCGAATGCCAAAGAAGTTTCCTGTCACGCTACCAGGAACAGAGCAGCGACGTCGAATTTTACAGCTCATATTGCAAGATACCAAGACGGATCCTGAGCATTTCAACCTCGATTACGTTGCAAGAATTACTGCTGGGCTCTCTGGCAGTGACATCAAGGAGGCCTGCCGAGATGCAGCAATGGTGCCCGTACGAGAATATATGCGGCAGCATCGTGAGAGTGGGCACGCGATGTCGTCCGTGGATCCCAGGCAATTCCGTGGCATTAGATCAGATGATTTCCTCGGCCGCGAAGGAGGACAGATCAAATTGCAACCAAAGCGACGGTCGAGCGGTGTTGAGGAACTGATTGCGGAGGAACAGGACTAGCATGATGATTACCTAGTAAACGATTCAGGCCAGCAACAGCCGATAATGTTGAATAGAAACACTCAACCCTGGCCATCACCTCACCAGTCATTGTCCAATCAGCAGCATCACGATGTCTGCTTCAGGCTTGCAATCCACTACACCATACCACTCGCACTGTCCTCCTCTCCCCCACAAACTGAAAATATCCGCCAGGACTGAAGATACGATCACGGTGCTCAAGTCGGGGCCCGGTTCCGTCCTCCGGGGTTCCCGTACAGTGCGTTTCACTAATAAGGGACGCACAGCACGCAATGGGCCATGATAGTGTCTGATCACGTCATTTGCGATACCCACTATAGGTTTCTGGGGTCCGATAGCAATATACCTTGTCCTGAGTACCGGCAACCGGCATTCAGCAGGTATCTCAGCATCAATCGCCCTCCGTTGATCGGTCGGATGACCCAGAAGAATAGCGGTGGGCGGGACCCAAACCGTCACAGTGGATTCGAGTAGAACTATAGGGCCCTAGGGCCTCCTGAAAGATGGTGTAAGATCCCCTGTAATTGGCGCCGCAGTTGCCCTTGTACAGAGCGCGGCACTCATATTGCGTAGTTCTTCCAGTGCAGATAATGAGGTTTGAGTTTGTAGACCATCTTCTCCAGCCCAGACCGCCGACAGCGGGAATGACTCCCCGACTCCCGAGCGACCCTTCTCTTCCAAGCTCTGACTCGGCAAGTCTTGACCTCTCCCCTCTAGAAACTCTTCAATCCCTCTCGCTTCAATCACTCTTCAATTGTATTTGAGTTTCGCTCTTGTCGCATAAACTCCGTTGCGATTTCTCTCTAGCGCCCGCCTCTCCTCCGACGTACCCAGAACCCTTCTCCCCGCCATCACCTCCATTCAACTCGACTTCGACACAAACGTTGCGACTAAATTTATCGAGAATGTCTGCCCCTTCGCCCACTGACTCTGGCAAGTCAGCCAACCCTCTCAAGCGAATTGACAATGAGGGACATGATCTCCCTCCATCTCCAGCTCCGTCAAGCCCTCGCAATGGTCGCAAACGCTATGCCCTCGCCACAGAACTTGTATACACAGATAGCAAGGACCAATATGGAGCCTCCAGCGTTCCCATCTATCAGTCTGCCACTTTCAAGCAGACATCGGCCAGCGGTGGCCAGCAAGAATATGACTACACCCGCTCTGGAAACCCCACCAGAACGCATCTCGAGCGACACCTCGCAAAGATTATGAACGCTCAGCGAGCGCTGGCTATCAGCTCGGGAATGGGTGCTCTCGATGTCATTACTCGTCTACTCCGACCTGGCGATGAGGTTATCACTGGCGATGATCTCTACGGTGGCAGCCACCGTCTGCTTACTTACCTAGCTGCCAACCAAGGCATCATTGTTCACCATGTTGACACAACAACCGTTGATAGCGTGCGGGCACGCCTCTCGGAGAAGACCGCCATGGTTTTGCTAGAGACTCCCACCAATCCTTTGATCAAGGTTGTGGATATTCCATCTATCGCTCGCTTGGCACATGAAGTCAACCCCAAGGCGCTCGTTGTTGTTGATAACACCATGCTTTCTCCCATGCTGTTCAACCCTCTTGATGTGGGTTGCGATATTGTGTACGAGTCTGGAACCAAATACCTGTCTGGTCACCACGACATTATGGCTGGTGTTATTGCCATGAATGACACTCAGATCGGAGACAAGCTATTCTTTGTCATCAACTCCACGGGCTGTGGCCTATCACCAAATGACTCTTTCCTGCTCATGCGAGGTGTTAAGACCTTGGCTATTCGAATGGAGAAACAGCAAGCCAACGCTCAAGCCATTGCAGAGTTTCTCGAGTCCCGTGGCTTCCGTGTTCGATACCCTGGACTCAAATCCCACCCTCAATACGATCTGCATTGGTCTATGGCTCGCGGTGCTGGCGCGGTGCTCTCGTTTGAGACTGGTGATCCGGCCGTTTCTGAGCGTATTGTTGAGGCTGCCCGTCTCTGGGCCATCAGCGTCAGTTTCGGCTGTGTCAACAGTTTGATCAGCATGCCCTGCCAGATGAGCCATGCCAGCATCGACGCCAAGACTCGAGCGGAACGACAAATGCCTGAAGATATTATCAGATTGTGCGTTGGTATCGAGGACCCGAATGATCTGATTGAGGATCTCTCTCGCGCTGTAAGTAACGATCATTGCCATGTTGGGCAAAGCTAACAGACTATATAGCTGGTTCAGGCTGGGGCTGTGACCGTGACTTTGGATGGTTTCCACGCTGCTGGTGCAGCCAAGGAACTCGGAGAAACGCCCCTTGTCATTCAATGAGCTACGAAAGCATCGCGAAAGAACATGCCAGGCCAATGCAGTTGAGCCTCAAGGAACATTTTGATTTTTGCAAGCGAAGTCGATAGTCTGTTGATTACCATTTCTCTACCGGACTTGTCATGGTTCTCGGCCATTGACGGGTGGTGGCAAAGGAAGTTCACCGCCGTATACCGCCTCACCGGCATTCATATCAATAAAAAGCAAAGGAAAAGAAGGCCTGTATTATCATCTCGAGCTGGCGTTGGAAGGGATGAACAATGGAGTTAGATTTATTTGTTTTGGGAACCTGCAATAGGTTTGAGACAGATCCAGAAATACGACAGATTCAAGATCCAAACGTACCGGTCTGTTGTATCAGAATCTCGTTGATGCTCAAGCGTTCTCGGCTTGTCTCGTTGATCCAGGACGCGAGCATATGGCTGCCTCTTTTGTCTTTCTTCCCAGGCTTTGGATGATTGTCCTGGGTCGATATGACTAGTCCATCTCTTTTAAGCGCGCTGGTATACACGGTCAGTGCAAGTCTTGGAACGTGAAGAAAAGGACCCGACCTTGTCGCTTCTCTCCCACTTATCTCGACTTTATGTGGCATCGAGTTCCTCCTATTGCTGTTGCTAGTGGTGAGTTTTACTTTTGGCCAAGAGGAGTCCGACACAATGTCGTCCCCCAGATTCTCGAGCATACACTCAGGCGTATATTATACTTCGGCAAGCGATATCCCCACGGGCTGGTCATGCTGAGCTTCGATCTCAGCTACTTCCAGCATGTCCTTACCACCAGCCTCTCAGTTCATCACCGTCACCATGATAGTCTCGGCATCGATATCTCATCAAGCCGCCCACATTTGGTTGGCGAAGCTACGCGAGACCTCAGACCTGAAGATCGCGCTCATGCTGCTTGGGGTATGACGGCGCATCCTCAGGAGAAGGATATTCCATCACATCTCATATTCGACGCGCATCACGCACCTCGTCACGGGCGTGGTCACGTTGGTGTAACGAAATGTGCCGCGGGGAATTCAGAACCATAGCCGTATAGATATAGGGGTGGTACAGGCGACGGCGGTCGCACGGAGTACTTGCCGGTCAGAGTCGGGAGTTAATAGCCTTGGTGTAATTTCTGGGGGTGAATGAGAAAAGAGTGAAGAGTGAAGAGATATCAAGACACTTTCAACTGCACCAACTAGGATCGAAATGCCTGTTAAGCTAGCAATGTAACACCAAACATCATTTTCCAACAGGACAATATAGATAGCCTTAAAAAGGAGGTTCAGAACTCCCCGTCCCATACTTTCAATCTCGCGATAGCCTCATCATAGCAGTGTGAGGTATGCCACACAATAGAGTATTGCTCTGACTACCCCTGGCGCCTCTTCTGGTGTAGCACAACACCAAATCGCCTCGATAGCCATACAGTCCAAACTTCTAAATATTCTTTATCATTGATCTAGACTCATCCACGTGCCGGGGCACGCTTAATCCTGCTCGTCAAACTCTCCTGCCTCCTTGTCCAGTGTTACACGAACCTGGAGGTGAATGTAATCAGATGAAGTAATAGCCCTTTTTATATCTAATCTCCGTAGTTCACTCCTGATTTGAGTGAAGTCCTGCTTCCTTGTCTACTATGTCTCATTGCATCTGTCACTTGCAGGTTGGTCTCCGAGACATGCATTGAGATGTCTAGGGTCCGTTCCTACGTGGCTCACCGGTGAAGGAATACGTGCATTTTGACCATCAGCTGAGTAGGCACCATGCGGAGTGTTATGCTCCGAAACATGCTCACGACTCATATTGAACCCTGGGTACAATGATTCTTTATTCATATAAGAAACAACAAACTTAAACACAGTCTGCCAAGCTAAATGTATACAAGCGCGCTCGCCTCAAAACTCCGCCAAATGCATATGGCAGCTCAAGAAAAGTCAAAACGGTCGGGAAGGACAACAGGCGCCACCAAAGTCCACGTATACATGCCGTAGCAAACCCAGGCACTAACAATCTTGACCCAGCTCGCAGCGTAAGTACGGCCAACGGTCGCAAAGTCACCATCCTTGGTAGATTCGTCAAAGTTCATGGTGAGTAGAGTAGCCACCCAGGCAGTGGCCAAGAAGAAGATGATGTGGAACACTGAGTAACTGTACTGGGTCCTGTTTCGCTCGTCATCTCCTGCAGGAGCGTCCCCAGCATCACTTTCGTCATCGGACAGCAGGGCGTCAGCTGGGAGGCTGCCTTCTTCGACAGCTCGACGCAAAGCCTCAGCTCGCATTTCCCGACGAGCACTGGGCTGTTGGGTCACAAGTCCGTGCTCATCGTCGTCGGGCAACTGTATTCCATTCGAGTTGCCAAGTCCGAGACTCTGGGTTGCGGCTCGTGTGGTAGTGTAAGCAATAGTGAGTAGAGTGACAATGGCACCAATAACAATAGAGGTTGCTCGTGTTCCCTGTCCCTGAATAAGAGGGTTGCACTCGTTGTTCGGCTCCATTGACACAGCTGACATAGTCAAGTATGTGCAGTAGACGGCAACCATAGCAGCTTGAGCAAGTCCCGCCTTGGGATTGAACTCTTGAACAGTAGGATTGACGGAAATGACCGAGATTCCGAGCCATAGAATCAGATTGATGGTGATCACAGCCTGGTTCATAGAGCATGAACCGCGAGCAAAGAATATGTACTGCACAATAGTCATGGCAAGCGATCCGATATACATGCCGAGAGTAGAGCCAATCAGAACGAATCGCCAAACTCTTGAGTCAGTATCCTCGATCTGAGCCAAGCAATACTCAGCCCAGTTGTGAGCTAGGTCAACAAGCAAGATGAGTCCGAGTAAAAGGAACAGCATGGCTGCGGCGAAAGCAATGTAATTGCCCCAAAACAAGAAGAAGCTGTCAGGGATCAAAAAGGAGAGAACAACAAAGGCGAGCCATGCGATAACCTTGGGGCCCCAGTAGCCGTTCTGAATAGCTGCACGGGGGTTTTTCGAAGTTGCGACACCAAATAGTAAACCAGCAAGGATGAGATGGAAGAGACCAAGCGCAAAATTAATTCGGTGAACCGCGAACCAGCCATGACATTCACCAGTCGGACAATTAATCGTAACGTAGTCGAGGGTAAGTTTCTGGAGTTTCTTGATGGCCCAAGGCGTGAGCATTATCCATGCGATGATCGAGTTGACGAGGAGGAGGAGCGCGTATGCGATACGGGTTGCGATACTATTGCCGCATTTGCCGCAGGCGCTACAGACCATGGAGCAGGTCGCAGCGCCGCAACAGCTGGCAGCAAAGGAAGCAATCTGATAAAATTATTAGCGATCGCAGGAGAGGATGATTGGAAAGGATGGGCAACATACGGTACCAATGCTGGGTACCGCCAGAAGTGGCAAAGACAAGAGGGCACCCATTGCGACGGCGCGCGACGAGGTTGTGGACGTCTAGTTGAAGTCGGGATTGGTGGATTTTTGGTATGCAAAGGTTTCGTGAGAGATTAAGCAGAGCATAGAGACCAGAATCGGTGGCGTGAATCACCTTTTAGAACGGTGCCTGATCTGTCTAGGTAGAGCCTCTAGAGGATGTTGGAGATGGCAGGATACATGAGGCTACAATCAAAGAGTGTCCACGTGAGATTACGTCGTCAAGAAAAGCCGAAGAACAGAGGGGGGTAGGTACTCCGAGTATGTGGCTTGACGTTCGAGAATGTGGCTGTCCCCGGCATCCGGCCCCAGTATCATGCATAGGTGATTACCTTACCTTCCTAGGTATGTACACACAAGGGCTAGTCTCGGGATCTTCTCCGCGCTCAGTTGTACAGTTCGTCCCTGACTCCCTGTTATCATTGATCAATTAATCAATCAACTTCCCTCCACTCCCGTCCCGACTACGTGAGCGAGCCACGAGATGCTCCATAGTATTCGTCTCCCCTAACTAACCCATTTGTTCCTGACCTTATCAATATCCGAAATATTCCTTTATACCTTACTTACATTAGCCACGTGTGCTACGTTCGGTACTCTTCTTACATCAGGAGTTTCCTATCTCTCTCTTTCTGTCCTCCCCATTATCATCCAGCAAATTGGGTCAGCATCATCCTCGCTGGCCAAATGTTAACTTTTACTTCATAGAAGCGCGTCCCCTCATCTTCAAACTACCTACCTGAGATCATACTCAGTCACTCGACTATCATTTACTTAGCCTTATTCATTTTGTTTTTTGTCGTCAAGATGCATCAAGACCAGCAACAAAGCCTCTTTCAGGCCCGTATTATTGCCAGCGTCGCAGCTACTATCTTATCCCTGGCTTGTGGTACCAATGTTGGTCTTCTTTCAGCAGCTATATCATTGTTGAGTAAGGTATCTAACGGCAACTTATAGTATGTCTACTCAGCTTGGGCTCCGCAATTTGCGGAACGACTCAAGTTGTCGTCTACAGAGAGTAACCTGATCGGCCTGGCTGGCAACCTGGGAATGTACACCTTGGGAATGCCCATCGGTATATTCGTTGACCATCGTGGTCCTCGGCCTGCTGTCCTTGGTGGAGCTATATTTATGCTCTTTGGCTACTTTCCACTACATCAAGCCTACCATCGTGGATCAGGATCAGTCATGTTGATGTGTCTCTTCTCTTATATGACCGGCTTAGGTGGTTGTATGGCATTCGCTGCTGCTGTCAAGACGTCTGCTCTCAACTGGCCCAACCATCGGGGAACCGCCACAGCCTTTCCTCTGGCTGCCTTTGGTCTAAGCGCCTTCTTTTTCTCCTTCGTGGGCGCAGTCTTCTTCCCTGGAGACCCCAGTGCTTTCCTTGAGCTTCTTGCTTGGGGCACTTTCGGCCTTACTTTTGGCAGCTTCTTCTTCCTCAAGGTCCATCACGAACAGGCTGAGTATGAGGCTGTACCTGCTTCGGACGAAACCCCAAGTATTCCATCTACCGACCCCCAACAACTCCGGCCAGGCTCCTCCGACGAACCAAAACCCTACCGCTCGTCTCGAGCAGAGGACGAACCCGGTATGTTGACTAATTCCAGTAGTAATAGCACCAGCACCAGCACAATTAGGAGCTCCCACGCACCCGCTGTAGCATCCTCATCAACCGCCCCCGCCAACGCCCCAGATCCGACGGGCTCTCCTGGAGTATCATTTGCGCCTGAATTTGGCCTTGTGGTCGCCCCCGAGAATCCCGAAGACCTCGAGGTCGGCGAGACGTCCCCCTTGATATCTCGAGCCGAACATCCCCCTCTTGGAAATAGTGATATTAATAGCGGTGGATCTCATCATGTAGACATCCGGGGTCTTGCTCTCGTGCGCAGTGTCAGTTTTTGGCACCTTTTCGTCATCATGGCTATTTTGGCTGGTGTTGGTCTCATGACCATCAAGTATGATTAGCTCCCATCGCTTTTCGGATTGCTCAGCTGACCATGTCTCAAGCAACATCGGCAACGACGCCAAGGCTCTTTGGAAACACTACGACAAAAATGTTACTGACGAATTTCTCGTTCATCGGCAACAAATGCATGTATCGACTCTCTCTATTTGCAGTTTCTTGGGGAGACTATTGAGTGGTGAGTCGCATGACAACCCTGGGCTTGTTTCCTTAGTTCTAACCATAGGCTTTAGGCGTGGGTTCTGACTTTTTGGTGAACAAGCTTCACGCCAGCAGGCTCTGGTGTCTTGTCGTCGCTTGCGCGGTCTTCATCTTCGCTCAAGTGTGCGCATCGAATATTGAGAACCCACAACTTCTCGGGCTGGTCTCGGGCCCATCAGGACTCGCCTATGGATTCCTATTTGGCGTTTCCCCTTCTCTCGTCGCCGAAATGTTTGGTGTCCGAGGATTAAGCCAGAACTGGGGCTTCTTGACCATGGCTCCCGTTATTTCGTCCAACATTTTTAATATCTTTTATGGAAAAATCTATGACCAGCATAGTGTTGTTGGACCAGACGGTGAGCGTTTCTGCTCAGTTGGACTCGAATGCTATCGCTCTGCTTACTGGGTTACCCTCATCTCCTGCTGCGCGGGAACGGGTATCACTCTTTGGGCGATCCGTCACCGACATAACAAATATCTAAGAGCAATGGACAAAGGTGATGAAGAGGATTAGGAGGGCTCAACTGTGGCATGCGTCGAGGTTTGTGACTTTTGCCTCATCCCGGTGGCATTCCACTAGATCGTACTTGGAGCTTCAACGGCGTTTATGAAGGATTACTCTCCTGAGCTTGGGCTTGCAGTTGGGACGTTAGACGAGAAGATAGACTGGCGTTTCAATTTCACAATTAGGCAATAACTTGAACATTATCATGAAGAAAGTCTCATTGCAGATTTATATTTAAATCAAAGTTGACTGTTTCATAATTGATGATGCCTTGTTCACATATCCAAGGTCTTATTTCACAATCATCAAAACGAGGCTCGACATTAGAATTATTCCACCATCCTGCCATTTCTAAAAATGGCAGCGTTTGAACAAGAACCAAAGCCAAAATGGGCAAAGGTGACTGACGACCTGCAAATGAAGCCAGGCGCTTCTAACATTCCCTTTATTGTGCCATCTACCCATAAAACGCCGAAAACAATGCTCATATCGTGGCCTGGTGCCGAGAGGAGGCGTATAACGCTATCCATCCGCAGATGCTCAGCAGACGTTGATTCCAGAACCATGCAAAATAAATAGGTATTACCGGGCAAGCCCGCGCTGCAAACCAACCAGGAAGAATAGTAATTCGTGGGAACAGAAAACAAAGTAGGAAGTGTATGGTTCGTCGAAGGGTCGTGCTTGCACAATGCTACGCGATGATACGCACAAAAGCGTGGCAACACGATACATTATGATCCACAGGATGCTCATGGTCATCGAGTCCTTCACAAAGAAGTTTTGGACTTTTTGTGTTCCTCCGTTGGGCTGCTTTCAAAAATCGCGCCGAGTCCGCTTAGGGAGAAGGGGTCCTTAGTAGAATGCAACACGACTAGCCAAGCAGCAATGATGTTCACCAAGTAGTGAAGCATATACGCGTGAGAGATCCCATACATGGCGGCGTAGAGCGCTGTCGCGAAAAGAAGCAGGCTTGTTACATAACCAAAAAGTCTACCAACTTGGGGTACCATCTTGCCTGTTGTCAGATTCTCCACAAGAAGGATGAAAGGCATTATTGAAAGAACATTATGATGTGAAGAAAATGGCGTGAGCCAATGAACGGCCAAGTTGCGAATCCATACTGCTAGGATGGGTAGGTTGATCGGAAGAATCCACAGCATTAGAAGCAGGACAGAGTGTGCATAGTGGTAGTAATTCGAGTTTGCATCCGAAGGGGCATTTTCGTTGATACGAAGAGCTCTTATCACCGTGAAAAGCTGCACCAGGCATGCCACCAGGTAGGCAAATTGGTAGGGAATGAATGTCCAGACGAGGAACAGCAGAATGGCTGTAGTGATCATGCGCCTCTTGGGAGTTGACGGGACAAATGCAGGTGTTCTCGCTACTCCATCCTCTTCAGCTCCACTTGAGAGGGAGAGTAGGGTTAGAGCCCAATAAAGGACGCCAAGGACGTGCGTGAAGACTTTGGTCACGTAGTGAACCATGGCACAAACACCAATGCAAACGACACCAATCAGGGGAACAAGAAACCAGAAGAAGGGATCGTCAGTTCCAATCAGAATGTCGTTGCGATGAAAGTCAATGGATAAGGGCGTAGCAGGCGCTTGGTACCACCATCTGCCGAACCAGATAGCTGGAACCCCTTCCATTGACATCGACAAGAGCGTCAGAGATACGAGCAGTAGCGGTATCGACTGGCGCAGACACAAATCCAGACTCTGTGAGAATGAGATGAAAACCCCTGAGCTGTCGTAAACACGGAACTGCTTGCGCAAAACGAGAGCCACAGTTAACATAGGGAAAGCGGCAAAGACGGTCCGGTACCTCATGTAGAGCTTGCCGAGGCTGCCCCAGAAATCAGGCTTGATTTGAAGGCGAATATTTGAGCCGCATGAAGGATCTGTCCAAACTTGAAAGGTAACCCCCTTTTCAGCCCCAGATCCCAGCGACGGGGGGAGATAGGGAGCCACGCCATGCAAACTGACATCGACAGACTGAGCGTTGACAAAATACTTGGACTCATATGGCCGATCAAGATATTGTCGGACCAAAGGGCTGAAGAGGGCCTTTTCAGCTTGGCAATGAGGACTTGTGATTTCCAGCTTATAGGCAAGAAGAGCCGACTGTAACGAGGCGATGTTGACCTCTGTAGTCAGAGGCCGGTTTGCAGGCAGGTCCACGGTGACTCCAGATAAAAGTAGTTTCGCTAGACTAGTGTCTTCTTTCTTCGAAAACGCAGACTGATCGCTGAACTCGGCAATCAAGAAACTGCGCGTGCTTGAAACAGACTTCTCTATAACAGCCACAAATTGGTGATCGGGCAGCTGGTCGAGATCATATTGAAGGTATGAGAAAGGGACAATTTCTCGCTCTCGGTCGAGGTAGAAAGGATATCTAGACGAGGCTGTGGACGCAGGCAGCAGAATCCGGTCTGAAGCAGCGTTCTTACAAGCAAGCCTGGTCGAACCACCATCGTCGGTTGAAAGATCAATTTGGAATGGATATAGCGATGTGGCTTGCCCAGACTGGAAGGGGAATACGCTGCAGAACAAGACTTCCAACTTGCCGCTTTCACCAGCTTCGTCTAAAGCAGCATCCGTAAGAACAGTGAATCGTTTGACCTCGGGAGATCCCTGCGGTGGGATGGGAAGCAGATGAGCTCGAGGCTTCGGCTGCTGGCCGATTTGACTAAGGACGAGCCGCTGTCCTGCTGGAAGAATCGAGTTTGAGTCGTCGCTCAATGTCAGAAGAGTGGTGGCTTCTTTCAGTGGCAGGTCCTTTTCCATAGTTGGCTCCATTCCTGTCAGAAATCGCTTTTTGAAAGTCTTCATTCGATCAGCTCGCGGCTTAGTTTGCGATCCTCGATGAACATCGACGATATCATAGAGAGTCTTGGTGATGACTTTCCGAAACTGGTCACACCAAAGAATAGCCTGGTGGTCCATACTTGTCCAGACAGTCGGTATACCGGTTGTGAAGACAGTGAAACCATGTGTTGGAGGGACCAGAGACTCGAGACTTGCATAATCTGATGGAACCACCGTGTCTAACCCACCGCCGGCGATCGAAACCAGAGTAACATGCCACAAAGGGTTGTTGTTTGCCCATTTTTGCGAATAAGCCTGACGCCAATAATCGTTGATCTCATCGTAAATTTGAACTATTTGCCCGTCAAAAGTGACAGGGGGCCGAGCATGCGGTGCCGACATTGTGATAATGGTGTTGATCGAATTCGTTTGATAATTAGGCTGAACAAGCATAGCTCTTGCGACCACTCCGCCCATAGAGTGTCCCAAAACGATAACTGATGTCGGATCAGGGAGGTGGCCCCCTCGAGTTGCGCGTTGGGGGTCAGAGTAAAGCGACAGTATGTAGCGAACAGCTTCATTGAGGTATTCGGCTTGGTCGAGAAGCGTCTGGCCATGAAATGCTGTGATATCCTCGTTGAAATCCACGGTAAAGAAATCTAAACTCCGGACGCCGGCATCAAGAGTCCCATGATCGTGCTGAAGGCTATTGTGAAAGTAATTTGCAGCTTCGGCAGCGATTGGACGGACCTGCTTGTAGCTGCCTGCGTTTCCGGGGATGAACAAGACAGGGATGCCCAGAAGCTATCAGCATGCGAGTTTAGTTACCAAACGAACGAGATGTTGGGCGAAAGACGCTTTGACGTACCTTGTCCGGTGGCTCTATGCCTTGTTCTCGATACAGATACAAAGAATACTTGGTTGCAAAGCGTGTATGCTCCGTATCAAACTCGGTGAAGCGCACATATGATGGGCGCATGTACGACATCCGGCAACCCTTTGGATCGAGTTGACTGGTCACAAGAGACCTTAGGATACTGATAAGAATGACGATACCCAATGCAGAAATGAGCAAAACAACGATGGAGAACCGTGGACGGGGTATGCGTCGATTCGGCGACGGAGACTGCGTCGGTGTCCTAGCGAGAGCCATGTCGGGGGTTGATGGTGCTGCAAGAGAGGTGGGCTTTAGGGCGGTGGTTTGGCGAGGCTCTTCGCGAGGCTGGCCGTTTCTGCCATTGCGATCGTTGGAGGGCTTCCAATTAAGACTACTCGGTCTTCGAGCTCGTGCGGGTGATATGCGCGTTTTTGAATTGGGATCGGGGTCGGGAACATCGGAGTCGAGGGAGGATTCGTCACCGTCGTCGGCCGACCCGGAGGAGCGCCTCTTCATGGAGAAGGCGCGTGAAGACTCGCCGCGAGCCTGAATCGAGAGGAGGCAGAAATGAATATAGAGGGAGAGGTGCTTACTGCCCAAGTGTCGAGGAGGGTCGCGGCGATCTTTAGGTTAATTGGGGGCGGCTTCGGTAAACTTGGTCAGGCTAAGGCTGAGGTCAAGGTTGAGGTCGAGGTCGAGGTTGGAGGTGGAAGCTAAGATTAAAGATCAAGGACGAACGAGCCAACGACGCTTACAATATTCGCTTGGCTAGGACGGACAGGTTCGGTAGGCAGAGCACTACGAGAGAAATCCAGCAGGGGTTTTATTTTAGTGAGGGTCGGTGAAGGCGCGATTGGAGATTTCGTAACAGAAGAAGACCCGTTTGCGACAAGATGCAACCGGGGGTTGTGGTGGTTTGACCACTTTCTAGACTCTCCAACATGGATCCAGTGCGAGGTAGCGACGAAACGAATATTCGTCCAAGCTTTTGCAACGACAAATACAATTAAATAGAAACAGCGAGAACGACAGTGGCTGCAGCCAATTTTGAGTGGTTAGCGAACGAACAATTTGATTGAAAGCAAGATGAATGTTCACAATAAGGGTAAGTTACCTACCAGTAGGTAGGTAGGTAGCTAGTGAGCAAGTACAGAGTCGGGTACTAACTAACTATGCCGCATGCCGATTCCCCAGGCCCTTCTGAACCCAATGAATGTGGGTGGGAAATTGGATTGGATGTGTCGATGGCTTCTCCCACTCATCAGCCGAGTCGGAACCACTAAAACGTTGTGTGTCCCCTTTTTTCCCCTTCCATGGGGGCTGGTATTTAAGCGCCACACATTTGGAGAAACCTGTGCCATTAGCGGGAGAACCCCCAACAAGAAGCCATGGATGGAAATTGACAGGGAATTGGTCATCAATCACCTCGTCGTCCTGTCACTCACAGCATCGTGGCAGGGATTTTCTGCAGCCATTTAATTACAGGCTCGTCAAACGTTTTCTGAAGGATCATTTGTGAAGCCAAGCTAGTGTATCTACGGATACGGTTGCTCGCGTTTAAAATTATCATGTTCACAACCGGTTACTACCGAGTCTGCTGGGCAAAACCCATTATGTCTCGACCAGCCTTTCGATTAATGCTCATAAATGGACTGGGATAGCGTCACAGACGCTTCATCCACCCTTTGCGTTGAGAGGCTGCCTGGCCCTCAAGACAAGAGCCAACTGCGTCACTCCAAATGCACGACAGTTCACAAAGTTCTCTAGCTCCACAGCCTACCGCCAACGCCTCTCCCTCTTTAGTCCCGCGTTAGGCTGCAAGTAGTGCCTCACCAAGCCCGTCTTCCGTCTTGGCCAGTGATAGCTTCCTTGAACTCAGAACAAAGGTTGGAAAACAAGAAACTTGACATGTCTTGCCCATCGGAACTGGGACAGAGAACCGGCGCGTGCGGGTTCTTGTTCGTAGAGCCGCATCTTGAGTGGGTTTTTCTTAGTACCCAAGGTAACGTACCCAGGTACCTACTAAGCTACTACCTACTATACCTACCTTACCTACCTACTAAGGTAAGGTAAGGTAAGCCTTCTCCATCTGGACTCAGTACCTACTTGTAGCTCTACAACCTATATCTAGTGAGCCTCAATCGAATGTCTCCTATGACTTATCGTTATCCCTTATCTTCCTTCTGATAGCGTGAGACTCAGCATAAGTACTACAAATTCATAGTTGTATTTCGTATCTTGGTTTCTGAACCAGTCCGAAGCTACCTCTCTAGGAGCGGGATTTTGGAAATGCAGTGTCACCCTCTCCATGCAGGCACATGACGAAAAAGAAATCCCATAGGTTGAAGCTTCCGTCTGACGCAAAATCATCTCGTCGAGTGCATCTCGGATTCTAGGTGACGTACCTAGGTACCTAACTTAGATGAATTCACGGGATTGGCGACCCGTTATAGGAATATGTGATAAATGAGGGAGTATCTTTCCGCGGGCGGTTAGGTAGGTCCTCCATCCATAGGTAATCCAATTTGTATTCATGCATATGGCACCTCCCGTCATGATGAAAGATAGACGGACCAGATGAGTACTTGAGTCTGATTTCGTTTTTTTTAAGCTGCACATTTGCAAAAGAAATTAAAGCTACGGTCTTGTCACAACCTTCAAATGGTGCCGTAATCATAGTCGCATTGAGGTCTCATCACCCTGGGCTGCGTTGTTGGTATCATGTGCAGGGTCCTTCGTGAACCTCTGTATGAAAAGGTCCACATGGCAACCATAAAACAGATCGATGGACGCACGGTACATGACATATTCACAATCGTCCATATCATTATGCTAACTTTCCCAGGTTCATCAGATCCAGTCCGGCCAGGTTATAGTCGACCTTTGCTCTGTTGTGAAGGAACTGGTTGAGAACAGCGTCGATGCTGGGGCAACAAGCATAGGTAGGCATCCGACCGTTCCGATCGAACAATCCATCGGCAACAATAAATGGAGTATTCTGACTGACCTTCCCACAGATGTTCGTTTCAAAAACCAAGGACTTGATCTCGTCGAGGTGGCTGACAATGGGTCTGGCATCGCCCCTGCCAACTATCCATCAGTAGCTCTCAAGCACCATACGTCAAAGCTCTCTTCATACTCGGATATAGCTACGTTAGAGACATTTGGTTTCCGGGGTGAAGCATTAGCCTCATTATGTGCTTTGTCGATTGTGAGCATCACGACTTGCCAGCAGGGCCAAGCTCCTAAGGGGACCAAGCTCAGCTTCGAGCCATCAGGGGCCCTCAAAGGAACTGCAGTTGTTGCAGCTTCAAAAGGCACAACCGTTTCAGTTGAGCGTCTCTTCCACAACCTACCAGTTCGTCGGCGTGAGCTTGAGCGAAACATAAAGCGAGAGTGGAATAAGGTCATCGCCCTCCTTGGACAATACGCTTGTATTCAAACCAATCTCAAATTCTCCGTGTCTCAGCAACCAAACAAAGGGAAAAGAATTCACCTATTTTCGACCAAGGGTAATCCGACCACAAGAGAAAACATCATCAATATCTTTGGTGCAAAGACGATGACGGTCCTTGTGCCCCTCGATTTGACTCTGGAAATGCATGATTCCACAGGCGGTCCAACTTTGCAAATTGACCAAAAACACGAATCAAACTCTAGGGAAGTCCGTGTCGTGGGGCATGTTTCCCGGCCTTCTCACGGTGATGGACGCCAAACTCCAGATCGCCAGATGTTCTTTGTGAACGGGAGGCCATGTGGCTTACCCCAATTCTCAAAGGCATTTAACGAGGTGTACAAGGCTTACAACAACTCACAAGCTCCTTTCATTCTAGCGGATATTCAGCTCGATACCCACATGTACGACGTCAATGTCAGTCCAGACAAGAGGAGTATATTGTTACATGATCAAAACATACTGCTTGATAACCTACGCACTTCCCTAGCAGCCCTTTTCGACTCGCAAGATTACTCAGTCCCAACCTCTCAGCTCTTGCCCTTTAAGAACCGCACTGAGAAGCAGTCAACTACTAACACGCCCTTCAAACCATTATCGATCACTTCTCAGAAGCCTCTGGATGATTCCCAGCCTGAAGTCGAATCAGATGGAGACAATTACGAAGGCAGCGCCATTGACAAGGTGCCACTTGGTGCCGTAAAGAGGGTTGGCAGGTCAAAATCATTAGAGAAAAACATTAATAGTCAAAACCTGATCAGTGGATGGGTAGAGAGGGGATCAACGTCGCGGCCAAAAGACCGAAGCGCCACAGCGTCAACTTTTGCACAGAATCAAAATCCATCCGTATGCCCTTCTATGAGGCGAGAAGAGCCAAGCCTCTTTATCCGGAGTCCCTCACTCTCTTCCAGCAGTGATGAGAATGATGCTGGGAAGCCACTCCCTGTGCGCGATTTCAACAAGCAACTGAAAGTAAACAGTGTTATGAAGACTGGCTCTTCTCCCATCAAGAGGAAATCATCAGAATTGCTTGAGACTGAGCCCCAGATTCCTGCTACTGAACCACTGAGGCGTGGACAAGTCGAGAGCTCCGACACTAGCCCGGTGAAGACGCCACGGAAAAAGGCAAGATCTGAGGCCGCTACGATAGTCATTGGTGATGAGATCATACAGGATGCTGCGAGTACCCCTGATGGTCATGCCAATAATGTGGCTGTTTCTGAGGATGAAATGGAGGTTGATGATCCAAAGCCATCTTTCGGAAGCCGCCTGACACAGATCTACGCAGCTGGCAGCCGCACGATAGAAAGGAAGATATCTTTTCGTAAGGAGAGAGCGGGCAAGGGTGATGAAATTTCCGATTCTGAAGGCACAGATACAAACAGCGACAGCGACACATCCAATGCGAACAGGGATGTGAAAGCTATCAGTGAGCCAGCTATTCCGGTTGCTGAGAGCGATCGACTAGACAAACAGACAGAAACAAGGGACTTGTCTGATATTACGCCCTTCACATTTGTGGTTGAACCTGCCACAACGGATCATAAGACTCAATCTCTCAAGTCTAGTGTACGGAAGAAAGAGTCTACAGCCCAACTACTACAACACCTACGAACGGACGAAAGTCTCATAAGGCTGGTGTTGGAATCATGGAAGAATAACCTCAGTCCAACTCAAGACTGTACGACTGTCGATGAAGAAGTGACAGATCTTGCGGCAGCCAATGCGGAAGAGAAATTGTCACTTACTATAGCTCGCAAGGATTTTCTAAAAATGAAAATAGCCGGGCAATTTAACATGGGTTTCATCATCGCAACACGTCCCGCGAGCACCAAGTCGGAGGAAGACATCGAGGTAGCTCAGAAGGACGAGTTGTTTATCATTGACCAACACGCAACAGACGAGAAGTATAACTTTGAGAGATTGCAAGAGATCCAGACAGTACAGTCTCAACGACTAGTCCACTCGAAAAGGCTAGAGCTGACAGCACTGGAAGAAGAAATTGTGTTACAAAATATCCCTGCCATTGAGGCTAACGGGTTCAAGGTCCATGTCGACATGACTGGGGATGAACCCGTGGGCTCAAGGTGTGAAGTCCTGGCGCTCCCCATGAGTCGTGAGGTGACCTTCTCGATCACTGACCTTGAAGAACTGATAGCATTGCTTGGTGAGGAATCATCTGAGTCGAAGCATATTCCCCGCCCCTCCAAAGTGAGGAAGATGTTTGCATCAAGGGCATGTCGCAGCAGTGTCATGATTGGGAAGGCTTTGACGCATGGGCAAATGGAGACGCTTGTGCGGCATATGGCAGAGTTGGACAAGCCTTGGAACTGCCCGCATGGCCGTCCAACGATGAGACATCTGTGTCAATTGGACTCGTGGGATACGAAGGGGTGGAGGGACGACAACTTGCAGGGTCCATCGGTATCTTGGCGAGCGTACTTGAATGGCGAATAGTACTGTTCAGTAGCGGTGCGGGTGTGGGAGAAATTCGTGATTTGAGACTTTTGTATTATCAAACACCTAAACTACCTAATAAACTACATATCCGGATATCTTGCCATGTCCCCAAACCTTATCCTTGCCAAACATTCAAACTTTGACGCATCCTGCATTTAAAAATCATGAACAAACACTGAAACACATGTCCCGTGTTCTCATCTCCTTTCCGCGAGGGGATTACGGGCATCGAGAAAAGAATATCGGTTCCCTGCCGCTCGGCCTTCTTCTACCATCTTACCACTAACATTACGTCGTCCATATGCCGTGGAAGTGTTCTGATTGTAATCATTACCCGTGGAGACCTTGCGATTATCGCTGCCAATCATAATGGGGGGGGTTGCACTCTGAAGTTCTCCGTATGATCTCGCATAAAACTCAGACTCTGGTTGAATAGAGCTCTGACGGTTGCGCGGAGCCAACGCTGGCTTCTCGTCAGCGATATCCCTGCTCGCACTGGCACGTCTCGCGTTTGTGCTGATATCGGTTAATGAGTTCTTGAACGGGAAGAATGGGGTCTTGGCGCGAGGGGGGGATTTGCGTTCTTGCTGTGCAGCAGGGGGGTTCAGGCGAAGGGGGTGAGGGCGAAGCTCATCGCCATTAACACCAAGGTCGTAAGATGGGTTGTTTTCATCACCATATTCGGAATCGGAATCGTCATGCGCGTATCGTTGAGCCAAGGCCTCATATGACTTGTTTTCGCGGTTCGCAGCACTTGTCTTCGCCGCTTCCAGTTCACGGTTTCGTTGATTCGTTCGGGAGATGAGTGAGTCGGTAGGCATCCAGGTCTCGGTAAATCTAGCCGGGCGAGGTTGACTATGCCTGTTGTAGCTGCTAGATGGGCGAGATCCTGCCTGGTCGTCGAGGGGGATCTCGCTATAGGCATCGTGGTAAATTGAACGGGTGGCAGTAGTTCGTGTGGTGGCCCTCGAAGCAGCCGAATCGCGACGCTCACGACGAGGACTTCCAGGGCCTCTCTGGTACTGTGGAGGTGGGGGGAACTTGGTACGGGAGTCTCGAGTTCCAACTGTCGTGCTCGATCCGTTGCGGGTATGAGTGAAAGGAATGGCGCGTGGTGCGTCAATGCCATCATGAATACCTTCTTGAGGCACGAGAGATTCCCGGCGAGCACTTCGGGGTGTCGACAGGCGGGCATCACTGTCCATGGTGCTAGCGGTCATCACCGACGACTTGTTCCTCTTGTGCATTGGTCGAGCAGTCAAGTGACTCTCGAGAGGGTTCATATCAGGAGGCATCAAGCTGATCTTGCGGAACATGAAGCCCAGCCAACCAGCAATCGCTAAGCTAATGAGATGGAGACCACCGGCTGCGACAAAGGTGTAGAAAAGAACAGGCTTGAAGGTATTCATGAGCGATTGGTCCGAGAGGCGGGTAATCCAGTCTTCGCTCTTGGTGCGCACTGATAGGGCACCAAAGGCGTAGAGAGGGGCGACACCAAGATCGGTGACGCCGCAGAAGAGCTGATAGGATGCAGAAGATGCAGGCGATCGTCCTGCAGCGTTCCGAGAGAGATGATAAATCCCGTAGATGCAGTGTAATATCACAACGCCAGGCTAGATCATAAGTCAGATACAGCTTGCGAACATTGTTAGAGGATTAGGCTCTTACGGTAATTCTCATAACCCAGCCCTCCAGACTGGGCACCTTGTCAATCAGAATCATCAGCGTAAGGAGTCCAAGAGCCGATACTAGCTGCAATACGCGCAGCCCAGATTGAACATGACGGAGCCATTTGATGAAGCGCTTACTGCGCGGGCTCATAGAAGCATACTCGTTGGTCCTATAGGTAAGAACCTGGTGCATACTGAGGAATAGTTAGTTAGCATTGAGATCCGGTGCTGAGGCAACGCCATAGGACTTACTCAGGATGCGTGTTGAAAGACACAAGTGGTCCATTGGGCTTCTTACGCGGCTTGGGAGGTTCCCAGCTTGCTCTTGTGACAGCCTTGGGATCAAACTTGGGCTCCGGGAAGCGCGAGTCGCTGTGGACGGCGCTGTAAAGAAAAGGCGCTTGCGACGGAGCCATGTCTGTAGTCGCAGCGCGATGCGCTTGAATTTGCGCGATAGTGAATTGTTGGTTGTGTTGTGCGCCTCGTGCTGGAATGAAGACAATATCATATGGGGCCCGGGAAATGGACGGTTGTTCAATCACGTACAACTGGCGAGTCGTTATAATGAGATTGTTTGTTATCCGAGAAACTGGGGGGCCGAGGGGGGTCTTGTTGAGAACAATGGTGTCGCATGTATGTCTCTGACGAAACTTGTGTACATGGGGTGGGCCGTGTTGGCACGGCAACGCGACGTCTGCGCTGCCAGCCGACGCTGCATCGGAGGTCGGACCCCAGCCAAGACCGGTCGGCGATAGACCCGTTGTTCCTTGGGTTTGGGTACAGTATAGAATCATCATCACCAGCCGCGAATGATGATGTGCTTAATAGCACGGCGCTGCCGTCGCTTCAATACAGTGCCTCGGGTTTCTAACATAATTCCTGCTCGATGTTTCTCCTCTACGCTTCAGCAAACTTCTCGACCTCGGGATGCGCCATTTCGCATGGCAGTAGTAGGATCCGGACCCGCCGGTTTCTATACTGCCTACCGAGTAATGGCGAAAGTGTCAGGAGTGAAAGTTGACATGTATGAGAGTCTTCCCGTACCGTTCGGTCTGGTTCGTCATGGCGTTGCTCCAGATCATCCAGAGGTCAAGGTGGGCTACCCTATAGAACAACTAATAGACTAGGATACTCGCTCACACAACAACAGAATTGCCAAGATAAGTTTGATGAAATTGCATCGCAGCCCAATTTCACATTCATTGGTAATGTTTCTATTGGCCATTCTGGCAACTCCTCGAAGCATTGTACAGTAGAGTTGCATAAGCTAATGCGGCACTACGATGCTGTTCTGTTCGCATATGGAGCATCCCAAGACAAAAAGCTCGGTATCCCAGGCGAATCGACCCTCAGCGGTATTCACTCAGCTCGCGAAGTTGTAGGATGGTACAACGGTCTTCCTGGATGTTCGGGCTTAGACCTGGACCTTTCACAAGCCGAGGAAGCTGTTGTTATCGGCCAGGGAAACGTTGCTCTCGATGTTGCACGAATGCTTTTGGAAGACATCGACGTTCTCAGAAAAACAGACATTACAGAGAAGGCGCTTGAGACGCTGTCGAGAAGCAGAGTCAAGAGAGTCCATGTAGTAGGAAGAAGAGGGCCGATGCAGGTAGGTCTCGCTATTGATGGCTCAATCATCACAGCTCTAACACACGACAGGCTTCATTCACCATCAAAGAGGTGCGGGAACTCATGAAACTAAGAGACGTGGGGTTTTCACCCTTCAATCGATCCCTCGTTCCTGAGGATCTAAAGTCTTTGCCACGTGCCTCAAAACGACTCATGGAAGTCCTGTTGAAGGGCGCATCAACCCCCAACGAAACAGCTCCCAAGTCATGGTCTCTGGATAGCTGTCTCTCACCAAAGCATTTTCTCGGAAACCAGGATGCACCCTCCAAGGTGGCAAGCACTGAATTCGACATTACAGAACTCGCAGCACCATTTGACCCCAAGTCATCTGTCAAAGCCACTGGCAAGACCGCTATCCTGCCATCTGATGTTGTCTTCCGTTCAGTTGGATACAAATCCGTAGCTCTGCCTGGGTTTGCCGAAATTGGTATTCAATTTGATAATCGTCGCGGCGTCGTCGACAACGACGGCCTTGGTAGAGTGACGAGGATGGTTTCTGATACACATGCTGGGAGTGTTCACAATGAGAGGGTCCCTGGAGTATACTGCGCCGGTTGGGTCAAGAACGGCCCGACTGGAGTGATCGCATCAACTATGCAGGACGCCTTCACGACAGGTGATGCGATTGTTCATGACTGGCTATCAGGCGGTTGCTTTCTCAATGCTTCAAATCATGACAGTGTGACAGGGTGGGAGGGCCTGAGACACGATGCTGGGCCATCGACATGTCGAGCCGTTGCTTGGGACGACTGGAGACATATTGACCGCGCAGAACGAGAGCGCGGGCAAAAGAATGGAAAAGAGAGAGAAAAATTCACAAGCACGGATGAAATGTTGGCTGTCCTCGAACGATACCAGAGACGGGCACTTTAATTGTTTGTATATTACATCACTCTGTACTTCACACGACGTACATCTAGATGCTTAGGAGCTCTTGACCTTCTCAGTCAGCTCAGGTACCTTTTCGAATAAGTCACCAACCAGACCAACATCGGCAACCTGGAAGATGGGAGCATCGGGATCCTTGTTAATCGCAGCAATGACCTTGCTATCCTTCATACCCGCAAGATGCTGAATCGCACCCGAGATGCCTACGGCCATGTACAACTGAGGAGCAACAACTTTGCCTGTTTGACCCACCTGCAGACTGTTATCGGCATAGCCACTGTCAACAGCAGCACGAGAGGCACCAACAGCAGCACCAAGGGCATCAGCGAGGGGAAGCATGACCTTGTCGAACTCCTCCTTGGACTTGAGACCACGGCCTCCGGACACGACGCGGCTTGCAGTTGAAAGATCAGGTCGGTCTGACTTGGCCAAATCTTCCGACACCCACTCAGTAGGTGACTCGGGCTTGGAGTCGACTCCATCCTCGACGGTGGCGGAACCTCCCTCTAGAGGACCAGCAGCGAATGCAGTTCCTCGAATGGTGATGACCTTGACAGAGTCTGAAGACTCAACGGTAGCGATCGCGTTACCAGCGTAGATGGGACGGACGAATGTGTTCTCGTTCTCAATTGCTGTGATATCTGATATCTGCTGCGAATCGAGCATAGCGGCCACTCGAGGCATGACACTCTTGCCGAATGCAGTGTGGCCTGCGATGACGTGTGTGTAACCGCCTTTTTTGATATTCTCAACCAAGAGGGGGGCATAGTTCTCGGGGAGACCCTTGATGGAGAGTTAGTGTTGCGCGCGTGCAATTAGATCCATGGACCTTTCCACCAACCTTCTCATATGCACTGTTATCGACAGCAATAATCTTTTCCACGCCCTCAGCTTTGGCAATCTCCTCAGCCACGGACTTGATGTTGTTGCCAGCAATAAATCCGTGTACTGGTCCACCCAACTTCTTCGCAGCTGTGAAGGCGCTCAACGAGCTGTGGTTGAGTACACCATCCTTCTGTTCGAGGATTGCCAATGTGGATTGCAGGCGCTGCCGTTGTGCGCCGAGGCTGTAGGCGTGCGCGCGCGCCATGAGGCCAGTGGCCCTTTGTGCCAGCACTCGTTTCGCGGTCGGAAGCATCGTGAGGGTGCTGTTGGGTTGTGGTGATGGCAATTCAACTGCCCTCTCCAGGTCCAAGAGTGAGTAATGTAGGTAAGGTCAAGTCGGCGACGGTTGTTAACGGCCCGAGGTCGAGGCCGCTTGCTCTACCGCCGCCATCGGCCAGACCGGGAACCCACGGCATGTGGATTAAAATGCCGAATCGGCTCAAGTGATATCCATTCACATGACAGCTTCAGTATCATAAAACAGCTACATTGATTTGTCTTCAAACTGAAGAAGATATTTGCGCTTCTATATTATGATTCATTCTGTTGATCTGAGACTGGTTTGTCATAATGTATAGGACAGTACCATAACGATAACCGCAATAGGCTGGATCTCAGTCTGCGTCTGGACGTTTAAGAACTGCGTTGACAAGCTCACGACTGAATCAATTGACAAAAATGATCTCTTCGGGAAACCTGACAAGGCTGCATATAGAAAACAGCTACAGCCTCTAGAAACAGAAAGCATCTCAACTATCAATTGTTGTCATCTAAATCTCGTTAAAGGATTAAGCTACCTAAAGGGAGGTACTACGGAGCGGGCCAGTGCAAAATGCTTAGCTAATACAGATATCACGTGATGCAGCTTGTTCCCCCTGGAACTGCGCGTCCAGATGTCACGAAGTTGAGGCCAGTCAATTCGCGCCAAAATTTCTCCAAGACGCGACCCATTTCATCGCCAGACTCCATCAACATCACGACGCTAGCGACATCGAATTCCCGACGACGTACGAACAGTCATCCCTCTGTTTTGTGATAATACTGTTCGCCAAATATCGCACAATACTCTGATTGTGCGCGCTCGACTGATTCGCCGTCCTGAACTACCGCTCGCGGTCTGATCGCGATAACCATAAATATGGACGACTCTGCTACATATGGCTCGCCTGGCAACGGTGCGTCGCCCAACAGCAACCCTATCCTCGCCCAACCTCCCCTGCAGCCAGATTCAGGTGCAGGCGACAGCGAAGGTAAGTGCGCATTGCGATTGCTGCTCCCTCGATTAAACACGTTGCTCACGGGAAATAGACATCCAGATGTCCGAGGGATTGGCCACTGAGTCAAACATTAAACAGGATAGTACAACTCCTGCGCCAGGTAACCAGACTGTTTGAATTATGATGCAATATTTACTGAGACATCCAGCTCGAGGCGATGAGGAGATGAACGATGCGCCCGCTGATGATACCAAGACGAAGGAGGACGGAGTGGCCGCTACAGAAGGTCAAGAATCCAAATCAAAGGAGGTTGTTGAGTCGGCTGCTCGCGACCATCTCATCGCGCAGACTCACGCGATTGTCCTTCCCAGCTACAGTACCTGGTTCGACATGAATGCTATTCACGAAATCGAGCGTAAAGCTATGGCCGAGTTCTTCAACAACCGGAACCGGAGCAAAACACCAGCTGTCTACAAGGATTATCGCGATTTTATGATCAACACATATCGCCTCAACCCTGTTGAATATCTGACAGTCACAGCCTGCCGCAGGAACTTGGCTGGCGATGTTTGCGCCATTATGCGCGTTCATGCCTTCTTGGAGCAATGGGGCTTGATCAATTATCAAGTAAGGAGCCTTGTCACTACATTTTTAGGTTTTCTGACATCCAGTAGGTTGACGCCGAGCAACGCCCATCACACGTTGGACCACCCTTCACTGGCCATTTCAAGATCATATGCGATACTCCCCGAGGCCTACAGGCTTGGCAACCCTCTGCCGACCCTGTGGTTCTGGAAGGCAAAAAGAGCCAAGATACCGACCAAAAGGCTGCTGCTGCTGCTCCCGCTAAAGGGGAGCAGAACCTTGAAATTGGACGAAACATTTACGAGGCCAATGCCAAGAACACCCTCATTAACAAGACTGAGGGCAAGACCAACGGTGAGACGCCAGCCACCAATGGCGCAGCTGGTGCCGATGATGCCACCAAGACCCCCATTTCGAAGGTCCATTGCCACCAGTGCGGCAACGATTGCACTCGGATATACTATCACAGCAACCATACAGATGCTAACCCCAAGGCTAAATATGACCTTTGTCCTAACTGTTTCACCGAGGGTCGCCTCCCCGCCAACCATAATAGCAACATGTATGTGAAGATGGAGAACCCCACCTACACATCGACCTTGGACCGCGATGCTCCCTGGACGGATGCCGAGATTCTGCGACTCCTTGAAGGCCTCGAGCGATTCGACGACGATTGGGGTGAGATTGCAGAGCATGTGGGTACCCGCACACGGGAAGAGTGTGTTCTCCAATTCCTTCAGCTAGATATTGAGGAAAAGTATTTGGACTCTGAGGTTCCCATCAGTGCCCCGACTGGCTTGTCTCTCCTTGGCCCCCAACAAGGACAGCTGCCCTTCAGCCAAGTTGATAACCCCGTCATGTCTGTCGTCGGTTTCCTTGCTAGCCTGGCAGACCCAGCCAGTACAGCAGCGGCCGCAAGCAAATCTGCCGAAGAGCTCAAGCGCAAGCTCCGCAAGCAGCTCGATGGTGACAAAGCCGATGACGACTCGCAGGCCAACGGTGACAGCAAAGCCAAGAGTGACTCTATGGATATCGACCTCCGACAAGAGACCACGATGACTACAACCACAACTACGACCACCACCACCACAAAGACAAATGCGCTCGCATCCATTCCTCTGGCTTCGATAGGGGCTAGGGCTGCCGGATTTGCCTCTCATGAAGAACGCGAGATGACTCGCCTGGTTTCTGCTGCTTCAAATGTGACGCTACAAAAGCTTGAATTGAAGCTCAAGTATTTCGACGAGATGGAGGCCGTCCTGCGGGCGGAGCGACGAGAACTTGAACGGGCAAGACAGCAATTGTTCCTCGATCGATTGACCTTCCGACGTAGGGTTCGAGAAGTGCAGGAGGGCCTGAAGGCTGCCGCGGCTGTTGGAGGCGAACGAGGCGTACGACTTGCACAAGAAGCTATGAGCGAAGGAGACCGGTTGAGCTTCCAGGCTGTCCCAGGCGCGCAGGCTGTCCCACCTCCCAGCAGTGATGGCCAAATCAAGAGCTATGAGGCATGATGGATAGAGTTGAGACTGGGTAGCGTGAGCTCTAATTAGGGGAAAGCACTGTTTGGACACTTGGAATTAAAGTCACGGCGTCTGGTTGGTACAAGGAATTGAAGTGCCGGGATCATCGCCAATCTCAACCTATGTCACTTTCTGTCACTTAATATGAGCTGCCTCTACACGATGCTGGTACAATTGTGACGGGTGAGATTGAAGCATAGCCTTCTTGAGGGTCTCTACAGTCCCTGGCTAGAGACAACTTGGGAGATTCTTCAAAAAGCAACTCGGCCACTGATGGACAAAAGGCCTGCAAGTTAATCTCGTCTTCTGGGAATAGTGTACTAGTACACGGTATAGATGCTTTGGTGGGTTTGTCGCAGCAGAAATTATTGGTCAATGAACGGTTGGGTTGTAAATTGGCGAATTGGAATGTTTTATATTAGCTGTTATGTTCTCTGCCTATCTCTCTCTCTCTCTCTCTCTCTCTTTCATTTTGTAATCCGTGGTTCTCATAATCCACTGTGTATGTTGGGTTTTGCTGTTTGCAACAATGCATTGAGATAGTTCACATTGTGAATGACAGACCACATCGATGGCCGGGTGAACGGGAAAGAGAGAGTATATAAGATACAGTGTAATAGACTAAATTCTCAATGCTCTCTCCAAATGGCGATTTAAGGCTTTGGAAGATGTCAATGGGCCAAGGGAACAAGTACCATCAGATGGAGATGAGGTCTCTCCACTTCCCCAACGATCAGGGAAAACTGGGGTATCCAGGCTTTGACTTATTAACTATTGTTTTCTTATGACACAGTGGTGGACTCCGTAGTTAAAATCGGTGGACTAGTTGTGAATAATGACTGGATGCATCCACGTGACCACTTTAAATAGAGCATAATAAGCTGACTACCTTCTGATAGAAAAATGCTTCGACTTTGTCTAACCCTTGTAGTTGGGACCGACGATGCCTGCTTAGCTACCTTATACCTGAATATTACCAGTTGGTCAGGTTGGAGCAAAGAGGCTCAAGTGATTGCCTCGGAGATGGTGGATCCATCAGATGCATGCAAGACATGATTGGCTGGAAAGGGTATCCCCAGCCCCGGACAGGCCACCTCAGTCCCGCCCGTCGGCCCTTGAAAGTTCGTACCTCGGCCCAAGGCTTTTGAGGGGCCCGGGTGACGTCTCGGTCACAAGCAAGCGTCGTATTAACTAACTACTCCATAACAAGTCTCGTGCTGGGCTGATATCCACTGCGTCTGTGCATCCCATCCCGTACCATACCATACCATCCAATCCAGTGTCTAATCTGGCGACCCTTGTCCCCTACTCCACGATCGACTCCATCCTGGAAGCTTGCCGTCTTCTGAGCCGAGGCCAGAGCAATAAGCGTCTTGTGCGAAACCGGCACTATTGCTGTTCCAATATAGAGCCCCGACAATATTTGTCGCATACATACATACATACATATCTACCCCAACTCTTTTCGGCTGTCGTCTTGACGTTTCCTACTCTTCTTCTTTGATCGCTTGTTTTTCGCGTTGGCCATGTTGTTGACTTCAGCCCGCTCGCCCGCCCTCAGGAACAGCTTCCGTAACCTCACCAAGACACGCGCTGTAAGTCAACCCCTTCGCTCGTTATAAGGCATCGTCACATGTGGTCGACAAAGAGAAGAGGCATGGCAGTCCATCGGCTATCCTATCCTATCCTATCCTATCCTCCTCTCACTTCTCGCTCATGGATGGATGCCGAGTCATTGGCGGGCGGCAGGCTAGGGTCCTAGGATTGCTTGCTTGCTTGTGATCGAATGCTCCACTCGCCCGGATCCATGATAGACGGATCAACAGGCATCACAGTTGCTCTTCCACTCAAGTCGATCGTCTTGGCCCATTTGATCATGAAGCGCGCCTACTCTAACCGATAAACGTATCTGACAATATGAGAAACAGGCGCAAACTTTCATCATGGCACCCACAAAGCGAGCCAACAGTTCCGCCGCCTCCTCAGGTATGCGCTATTCTCCGCAAGCCTGAACCTTTCGGACCCAACGTGCTGATGCAAATTACGTGTAGGCTATGTTGAGAACCACTCCAAGGGACCCATGCTGCGATGGCAAGACTCCCTTCCTAAATTGCCCGTCCCAACACTCGAGGAGACTGCGAAGCGTTATCTCAAGTCGCTCCACCCCCTCCTATCTGCCAGCGAGTACGAGGCAAGCAAGAAGGCCGTCGAGGAGTTTGTCCGCCCTGGTGGTGTTGGCTCCAAGCTTCAGGAGAAGTTGATGGCCAAGCGCGAGGACCCCAACACCAAGAACTGGATTTACGAGTGGTGGAACGATGCGGCCTATCTCTCATACCGCTATCCCGTCGTCCCCTACGTCAGCTACTTCTACTCTCACCGGGACGACCGACGAAGAAGAGACCCCGCGAAGCGAGCTGCTGCCATCACAACATCTGCCCTCGAGTTCAAGAAGCAGGTTGACGCAGGCACCCTTGAGCCAGAGTACATGAAGAAGTTGCCTATCTGCATGGACAGCTACAAGTGGATGTTTAACGCTTCCCGTGTTGCGGCTAAGCCAGCCGACTACCCTGTCAAGTTCCCAGCCGAGGAAAACAAGCACATTATTGTTATTCGCAAGAACCAATTCTTTAAGATCCAACACGAGGTTAATGGAAAGCAGCTCAACACGTCAGAGCTTGAGCAGCAATTCAAGCGTGTCTATGAGCTTGCCCAGCGCGTTCCTGCTGTTGGTGCTCTCACCTCAGAGAACAGAGATGTCTGGACTGACGCTCGTGACATTTTGCTCAAGGCCAGCCCCAAGAACAAGGACGCTCTGGAGGCTATTGAGTCGTCATCTTTCGTGGTCTGCCTCGACGATGCGGCTCCAGTCACACTCGAGGAGCGTGCTCACCAATACTGGCACGGCGATGGTGCTAACCGCTGGTACGACAAGCCTTTGCAGTTCATTGTTAACGACAATGGCACTTCTGGCTTCATGGGCGAGCACTCCATGATGGACGGTACCCCCACCCATCGCCTCAACGACTACGTCAACGACCTCATCTTTGGAAACAAGCTCGATTTCTCAGATCCCAGCATCCGGTCCAACTTGCCTGAACCACAAGTCGTCAAGTTCGACATCACGAAAGAAGTACAGAGCGAGATTGATCGCGCGACCAAGGACTTCAACGATGTCATCAGCAAGCACCAACTTGCCGTTCAGGCCTATCAGGGTTACGGAAAGGGTCTCATCAAGAAGTTCAAGTGTTCTCCTGATGCTTACGTTCAGATGGTTATCCAGCTCGCCTACTACAAGATGTATGGCAAGAGTCGACCTACTTATGAGTCTGCCGCTGTCCGACGCTTCCAACTTGGACGTACTGAGACATGCCGAACTGTCTCTGACGACTCTGCTGCCTGGGTCAAGTCCATGACTGATTCCTCCATTGACGAAAAGACACGCGTGGATCTCTTCCGCAAAGCCATCAATGCCCACGTTGAATACATCACCGCTGCCTCCGATGGCAAGGGAGTTGATCGGCATCTCTTCGGTCTTAAGAAGCTTCTCGAGCCCGGCCAAGAGGTCCCTGCCATCTATCAGGATCCCGCATACAGCTACTCCAGCTCATGGCACTTGTCCACCTCTCAGCTTAGCTCAGAGTTCTTCAATGGTTACGGTTGGAGCCAGGTCATCGATGCTGGTTTTGGTATCGCATACATGATCAACGAGAACAGGTATATATTGCCCCCCAAATTCCCAATGGAGAAAGGAGTCTACTAACATGGCGATAGTCTCAACTTCAATGTCGTTTCCAAGGGCCTGGGCAGCGACCGCATGAGCTACTACCTCAACGAGGCAGCTAACGATATGCGAGATCTGCTCACACCTACTCTTGAGCCCCCCAAGGCCAAATTGTAAATATACTCACAACAACATATTTCTCAGGCAGAAGGAGTCTCTTGCTGTTGGATGGATTGGCATACTGTCGCGGTTCAAATCAACGGCGTTTTACTTTTTGGACAATGTACTCTAGACTTGACCGTCTTTTTGTGCGCTGTCATATATAGATGGCACTAGATATCAGAGCGACATGTTTTTAGCAAAGGCAGCATAGATTACACAGCCAAAACAATGATGGAGAAAAGTTCCAAAATTCTAAAAGAGGCGCCATTCACTCCCAGTGTTAGTTGCCATTACGCGTCTAGATACATGTGATACGGGCCCAAATAACTACACCACAGAAAATTGTTCGGAATATCCTATCTGTCCTACTCCTACATATGCGGATCCAAGGTATATACCATCTGCTTTAGCCGGCATGGGCCACAATTTCGTTGACCAAGTCTCCCTTAGACTCGTCGTAGTAGGAGCAGATTTGCGAGGGTAGGGGCACCTCCTTATAGTCATCGTCTTCGCCAGAAATAACGTTGAGGTTGACACCTGCTGATTTACTGGTGAAAACCTTGGTTCCTATACTCTCCTTGCTGAAGTAGATCTGGGCACTGTCGACCTGATCCAACATGACAGTTGGGATGGTGCCCATGACCTGAAGAGCAAAGTTGTTGGCTTTGACAACATCGACTGTCGAAACAAGGGTATCAACGATCAAGGACAGACGGGTGGAATTCTCGACTGTGACCTGGTTGGCCTTGCCCCTGACAATGATGGTGGTGTTGTTGCAACGGCTGATGAGAACCGAGTGTGTAAGCGAAGCCTCGATCTCAATTGGCTCAGCCTCCTTCTCGTAGTTTTCCTGGTAAAACTTAGCAACATACTACCATACTTTTCGCACACAGAACATACAATAGTCCATTTATTGCCCTCTAGCTCCTTCTTGGCTGGCTTCTTGATACGCATACTCTCGGGCTTAGGCTTCTTGCCAGGAGCAGGGCTCTTGCCCCTCTGGCCACTTGAAACCGTTGAGCCACTGCGAAGAGACGGATTCTTATGCGTCATTTCGGACTTGTCCACTTTACGCAGACCCTTGGTGACAGCATCGCCCTTGTTGAGCTCTGAGAAGACAGCTCCGAATCCACCAGATGATGCAGGCGCAGGAGCATCATCTGTCTTGATGTCGAGAACAGGGGGAGGGCCAGGAGGAGGAGGGGGGGGAGGTGGTGGAGGAGCACCACCAGCAGCAGGTGCCGGGGCAGTGGGAGCGGAAGCAGGCGCAGAACCAGCAGACAATGACTTGAGGACTTCCTGGGCAGGCTGGCCATTCGGATTCCATGGTATGCCTGTTGGGAAGTATTGCTTGACATAATCGGCAAGATCGCGAAACATCTGATAGAAGCTCTGAACCCATTCAATCTGCTTGGGGTCCCTGATATTATGGTTAAAGGTGATCCGCTCAAGCCAGATGGTTGACTTACTTATCCTTCTGCTCCTTCAGTACTCTGTTTCCAAAGAATTGAGCCGAGCCAAGGCACTCGTCCACGTGCTTGTAGGGGCGAGTGTCAATAGTAACCCATGCAAGAACCATGATACCATCGGAGACAGTGCTGAGTTGCGTGTACATAGGGCTAGGACGGTTGGCGTCCTTGAGCTCGGTAACAGCCACCAGTGCCTCGTTTATGGGTTTGATGAGGCTCTCATATACTGGCAGATCAGGTCCGGAGAGGTTTGGCTTCTTCGCCTTTGTGGAAATCAGGAGAAACTTGCGCTGCTCCTGGAAACCAGATTTGACGAGCGTAGCCTAGTATTATACCATGATTAGTCCCTGCCCCGTAGAAGGTTTTGCGTATTCATAATCCTTTAGGTGGTTGCGCGTACCTGCTCAGCGACCAATCCTCCTAGCTGGTGGCTCAACTTCACATATTTATCGACGGAAGTGTTTAGGAAAGCATCAAATTCCTCGATAGATTCTGGCAGCGGCTCAGTGGCAGGCTCGGGCTTCACGGTAGCGGGAGTAGTGGCCTTGGTATCGGAAGCGGCTGGAAGAGGAGGAGGAGCGGCTAAGGAGGGGTTCGGAGGTGAAGGTATCGCCTGGTTGAGAACGGCGGCATCGGCAGGAGGCTCGGTCGAAGAAGCGATATCCTCGAGGCGCGAGGTTGCAGCTTCAAGCCTGGATGGCTTTTATCAGCGTCTGCACATCTCGGACTGACAACGCAACGAGCGTCAAGAGCTTACCTCTTGATAAGCGTAGTCAAGTTATGCATCTGACTATTAGCAGCCATGTTGAATAATCGTCTGTTGGTTTGTTATTTTGTCGAAGTGCCGGACTGAAAGCGTTCCACTGAAAACAAAAGAAGGTGAAGATATGCTTGGGCCCTTGAAAGAATAGTTGATCGGGTGGCAGCGACGTGCTCAGGCAACAGGATAGTTGCTTTGTAGGATTGCGCAAGACGGAACGGCGAGTAGCTTTCGAGCTATAGGACGTAGGTGCCTAGCTAATGCCACACAGAAATGCAAGAAAATGAACAGCAAGCTTAGTGACTGACTGAATCAGTGCTGTTTCTTTCGCTAGGTACTTATGCAACAAAGAGAGAGTCAATCAACAGACAATTGAATAAGTACCTACTTAGGTTGGTAGATATTGAAGATGAGACGAGGTGAGGTGATTGGAGCTCGGTCCACGAGGTTCAAGATCCAAATAGGGATGGATGACTACTAACTGTTCCAGGGACAAGGGGAAGCAGTACGTAATGTACGGCAAGTATACTTCACGCTAGGCGTCTCATTGCCGTGAAGGTGAGTACTGCCTAAGTACCTTGTATTTCAGAAATCGGCCAAGCTCTAGGTAGGTAAAGACGTGGCTAACCTAGAGGGGCATGACAAGATTTGAACACCTCCCAAGCTGGGTGAGGATCGCAACAATTTGCCTTTCCATACAAGACGTAGGGAGGCATTCCATCAACGCCGGAACCAAGCAATCTAGCGCCGACTGATATAATAGACGCAAACCCGGACATCTAGATAAGTAGGTACTACTCCGTAGACTTTCCATACAAATGGGTTGCTTAGACTACCTATAGTTCGTGACTGACTCAAGACTAAACACCCATACAAATGTGCTCTATTCTTATTATTCTAAATCCCCTATAACCCATCGTAATTTTATAATATAGTTTATGATGTACTATATCCAATGTTTCATTTCATTCATAGACGTTTGCGAAATTCGCGGAGACGGTCCTCAACATTATGTCCATTCCAAGCCTCGCGGCCTTCGGCATCTCTACCAATCGTTGGAACACCGACCTGCTCAATGGCGAAGCTTGCGGCAACAGTGGCACAGGCTACAGCGTCCTCAAGACTCTCGCCTCGGGCCAGAGCCACACCGAGGCCGCCTAAGAAGGTATTCCCACCTCCCGTAGGATCAATAACCTTGGATGGATCGGTGTGATAGGCGGGAACCCATTTCTCGACACCAGGATCGACCTCGATCTCTTCGCGAGCCACAATACCATCGGCATCTTGGAGAAGGCCGGCAAACAAAGCCTCCATATCCGTGTCTGGCTGAAGGCCACCCCTAACATAATCTTTCTTTCGTCGCTTGGTCGCCTTGGGGTCACGGCCTCGCTTTCTTCCTCCATTCTTGGCGATGTAGCATCCCTTCTCGCCAGCTCGGATAACAAGAGAGAATGACTGCAGAGGCATGCTTGCAAGAAGCTGCTCGCAGGCTCTTTCTACAGCAATGGTAGAGATCTCACCTGTTTCTGGATCAAGTCCACCGTCACCCATGAACCCAGCCAATTCTGCATGGTTCGGGCTGCAGATATCGACAAGAGGTAAGCAGTTGGTGCAATTGAGCAACTCGTCAGGGGTACACAGATCAGGCACAGGCTCCCAGATGAAGATGGGTTTGGTATATGTCTCAAGGGGCACGACCTTCTTTCGAAGTGAGGTGATCTCGGAGACAAGATCCCTACATCGATTTGGCGAGCATATCAGGTGGAACGACCGTGATTTAAGCAGCGGTGGTGTCAGATCCTGAGCAGTCAACCGTTTCTTGGGAGTCAGGTATTTGAAAGCTCGCTTCTCGGTAGTGCCTTCATAGCCGTTCCAACCTCGCGTGGTCAAACGAAGCCCGTCATGACGGAACAGAGCCGAGGTGGACCAGCTATCGATGAGCGTAGAGAGAGAGGGCGGGAAATCCGAGCCCTGATCGACAATCCAGCCAACCGAAGCAGATTTGGGTGGGGGGGAGAACAGGCGAGCCCCAAGGGCTGAGTAGGTGCCAGCACCACCAAGGATGTCTTTGACAGGCGGAGTTGGCGGAATGAAGTCGATATCGTCTTTCCGGTCGAGTTAGTTAGTGTGTGATCTGAGCAACGGAGCAGTTTTGTAGATAAGGGCGCTGGCTAAGGTAGGTTAATGAATCTTCTCACCAATTATAAACATGCCCATCGTAACAAAATCGATTGGGACAGCTTCTTCGCCTGATGAGTCGCTGACCTTGCCCTCAATTATGGCCAACGGGGGATGTTTTGGGGAATTATCTGCTTCTGGCCTTGGCCCTGCCTCTGGTTCAGGTGCTGGTTCAGTGCCTGGTGCACATACATCACCGTTTTTGTGTTCACCTGCATCATCGGATTTCGTTTGGTCTAAGTCTTTCTCTTCCTCTACAACAGCAGCTTCCCTGCTATCAGTAGGCAGCCCAATCTCTGAAGTTTCGGCTACATCTGCCATGATGCTTGTGAGGTGGTAAGGTAATGACCAGTTATGTGGAAGGGTACGAGACAGGTCTTGAACCGGCAGAAACTCCCTATAAAGACACTGGCTATTCGATAATGAATAAAGGCAATTTCTACCGCGGGACTGTACAGTCTCGGCTCATGGACCGGTCAGGAATAGAAATATTCAGCAGTTGGTGGAGTTTGCGGTCAGGGTGTTGAGTATGAATGCGAATCGGATCGTAAGAAACAGCCCGGGGTCCAGACTCTTAATTTTGCTATACCAGGGTCAGTTTCTTTGCTGGGAACTACTGTGACTCTAGTATAAGGTAGTTAAGCTGTGATTCAGTTATAGAATCGTTGTATAGGTAGGTAGGCCAGAGTTGCCGAGAAAGAAAGAGATGGACCAACTTCCAAAGGAACGGATGAGTGAGCAATTCTAGGTGACTTTGGTTTAGGCGGTGTCCGTGGTGGGTTGGGCACATGGGAACTGCTGCCCAGGTTGGTACACGTAAGGATGGAAGGTTACGTATAGAAGGTGTCCTCTTTACCTAGTACCTATATAGTACTAAGGTAAGGTAGGTCAGCACCTAACGAGGTAGTGGAGCGAACAGAATATATCATCAGACCTTATGGTTGCTGATAAAAAATGCACCTCATGAATTCAATCAAAGACTCTTTGTGTGTCACATCCTGAGCAATTGATACGTGGCTCAATATTTACAGGAAATTTTGAGTTTCTCCTATCCTGGTCAATTCATCCTCCTCTGGGTTCAGCTCAAACCACCTGTACCTACCTAGGTGATTAGGCAGACTTATTGTCCACAAATTGTTCAATCAAAGTCTCGATTAAGGAAGGTATTGAGAGAGACCCTTACAGACCTTGTGGAATTCCATTCACCTGGCATCAATCATTAACTACCTACATAACTCGACCAACCTCGTGTCCATCCATGTCGTTATCAACTTCATAGTAGTACCAAGCCAACCAATAGATGCACCAAAACAAATCCCACCAACGCCAGTCGATTGCCTCGTATTGCTGACACGTTACAAGATTTAGATCTTGTACACAAGATCTCCCTCCGTGAACCTGGAATGAATGTTAGTAGGTCAACGCGTGGGTGGTTGCAATAAGGAGACTTACATAATCTGGTTTGCCTCTCCCATTTTCTGGAGCGCCTTTGTGGCCTCTCCTTTATCAAATGCATCGCGACGGTTCCCAATCTTTTTATTCACCGCCTCCACGACTGCATCCAACTCGGCCGCGTCATCTTCAAACAGGTCTGTGTTGAGAAGCTGACCAAGGGCTGTTCGGAAGGTTGTCAGTCGCTCAGAGCTGATGGGAGTATCGTCAATTGCCAATGCTGCAGCACCGCTGGCAAGGTCCTCGTCGCCATCCTGCGACTCTAGCTGGTTCGAGGATGGTAGCTGAGAGGCTGGAATTGAGGATGCAAATGAAGCCTGCGATTGTGACTGGTCTTGTGTTCGCCGGCTAGATCTTCGCAATGTGCTTTGCGAGTCATCCTCAGGAGCATCAAGTTCTCTGCTGGACCGGGCAGTGTCACTGGTTTCTCTCGCTTGAAGGCGACTACTGTTGCGTGTAGCCCTCGAAGTCGACCTGTTTATTTGAGTGGCATTGGCAATGCCACCATCGTCATCTTCATCATCACTGGAACTCTCGTCACTGGATGATGCAAAGTCAACCGTCTGGGTCTTTCTCCGCTTCTTCCGCGATTCTTCAACAACTTCCTTGAAAAGAGCGAACCGTAAGATACCCTCTGCAGCAGCCGCATCGCGCTCCTCCACCCTGTTTGATAGGCGGGATTTGGCATGTGCTGTGGCAAGACGAATGATGGTCTCCAGAGTACGGACGGTCAAAGGACTGGTCCTTCGCTGGTTGCCCTCCATCTCGTCGTTCCGTAGACCGACATAGATATCAGCGATTCGGTCAGAAGCCTCTTGTGTCAAAATGGGCTTGATTCTCGTCTTGGCATATTGGATGTACTTCTTCATGAACGGGATGCTAAGGATTTCGGGCTTCTTGTTTGTACCGCGACCAGATGTGATTGTGACACCAGAATGTAGCATTGCATCATACTTTTGGTAGACTTCAGTTGGTCCCTGGGACTCAGTTTGATTTGAAGCCGAGACCCCCAGGGACTGTCCACCTTGCTCACGCACGGGAGCGCCTTCTTCAGTTCCTGGCTGGCGATATCGGTGCATACGAAGGACGTGTTCTGACACATGTCGATCTCGCGTATCCTCGATGTCATCTGTGACGACAAACAGTAAATCAAAACGTGAGAGTAGAGAGTCAGGCAGCGCAATATTCTTGTGAGGATCCTTGTGAGGATCATATTGGCCGAAAATAGGGTTAGCAGCAGCAACAACACTACAACGAGCATTCAGCGATGTGTGAATACCCGCCTTTGCGATGGTAACAGTCTGCTGTTCCATAACTTCATGGATCGCAACTCTGTCAACGTCTGACATCTTGTCGAATTCGTCGATACAAACGACACCACGGTCAGCCATGACCATGGCACCGGCCTCCAGTCGGCGCTCACCCGTCTCCTTATCAGAAGTTACCGCTGCAGTGAGACCAACGCCCGAGGAGCCACGACCAGTTGTCGCAATCGCGAGCGGTGCAGTATTTAGGACGAAACGTAGCAGCTGAGATTTAGCAGTGGACGGGTCACCGACCATCAGAATGTTGATATCTCCACGCAGATGTGTTCCATTTTCGAGGTTCTTCTCCATACCACCCAGAAGCATGAGTAAGATGGCCTTCTTGACATAATCGTGCCCATATATACTGGGGGCAAGTGATTGAGAGAGCAGCTCCAGAAGGTTCTTCTTCTTGGCCACCTTGTTGATGTTACGAATGTCGGTATCAGTAATGGTTGCAGTCGCCACACCACCTCCGGACTTTGAAGATAATAAGACAACATTGTTCGTGAGAATCATCGTTTTGAAGAGAGCACTGTTGTGATTGGTATTACGGTTACCCAGCGTTCGATAAATGCCGACGAGCTGCACTCGGTCGCCAGGCTTCACACTGTCGACGAGGTCATCGTCTAGAATGGCATCGACTCCGCGGGGAAGTTGCCCTGCGGGTGCTCGCTCGGGCATTTCCTGGATAGAGATGGTCTGGTGGTCTCGGTATGTGCAAAAGCCATACTCTGTAATAAGCGGATTACCGTCGTCGTCCTCGCGAGGGTAGACGCTTGAAGTGGTAACACCGTTGGTCATGGTCTGATCCTGGTACTCGCGAAAATGAAACATGTCTTTTTTCTCATTGTAGTGAACACTCTTCACGACCTTGGGGCGGATGAGAGAACATCGAGTCACAATACCCTCGATAGAGACCATGTAGTTGAGGAGGTGAGACGACAATGTACGGGGATTGCAAGCGTTCAAGCCAAAGCTGCCAGCCCAAGCGCAGTAATAAATTGTGTCTTTTGCGGTCTGGTCAGGTCGTGCCTGTGGAATGGTTTGGACGATGTTCTTCAGGGCTTGATCAAAAGCCAGAGTGAAATCGAATGGTTGTTGTAAGAGGCCCTGTGCGAGGTCCGGGCTGTGGTTGCGCACATGATCGAGATTAACGGTCAATCGACGTTGGTTCTTCTGTAGCATAAGAATGATATCGGATCGATAACTTCGGACTTGGGGATCATCTGCGGAAAAGAGTTAGCTAGGCACAACGATCGGTCTTTTTGCAGAACGGGCGGTGGACGTACTGGGATCAAGGAATTCCTCCGCTTGGCGTATGCGATCGCGCACGCCTTCATCTTGAAGCATAAAAGAGTCCATGTCGGCGGTTCCTTGTATTGCCGTTTCAATGAGCGACTTCGTCAAAAGTGATGCCGATATGGAACCTAGTTAACGTCCTTAACTGAACGGTAATCAGATCGAGGGGTGAAAGTAAACCAGGCGGGGCGTTGCTAGGGGGCTGCTCGAATTTGCTCCGCGCTCCCTTCGGAAGAACGCGTCTCTTTCGCGTAAAGTGGTAGCTAAACCTGGTCTTCAGAGGTGGCTGATGTGTGGCTACGCTGGGCCCTATTTCGTCAGGGAGCTAGTCCAGTTTCCGTAATGACCTATGGTCTTGGTCTTTAAGAGGGAAGTACATACGGATACGCCAAGCCTGCCTACCTAGGTATGCATTTGCCTTATGCTGGAATCCCCATGGTCCTCCACGTGGAGCACTCATAACTCTCGACCTTAATGATCTCCCCTACGACGTCTTTCCTATACCACCACACATAAGCTAGCCCACTACCTGAACGGATGCTATTCACCGGTGTTCGTACACAATGTCGGTCGGGCTTTCTGGCAACTTGCATACCGCTTTAGATGAAGAAGCAAGGGCTGAGGTTGACGTTCTCAATTCGCGGCTCGAAAAGACGACGCAATTGACCAAGAAGATTCAATCGTGCCTCAACCGACTCGAGTCGACAGGGAAGAGTGTCCAAGATGTTGCAGGACCTCTGAATGGAGAGACCAGGCGCCTGCAGATATTGGGAAACAGTAAGAAACAGACTCCATGTCCAGCAAATGCTGACAACTAACCATTGGGTAGACGTTGATTCGGTCCTGGCCGCTATTGACCGATTGCGCCAACCTGCAGATAGCAAAAATGACGAAGAGCAGATCATTCGAGTCGGTCCTGAGAAGGCTGGCCTCTCTAATTACCTGGCTTCTATCAAACGTCTAGGGAAGGCCTTGAACGAGATGAAAGCCTCCAACTTGCGCGCCAACCAACAAACGATGGCCGATCTAACACGACTCATCAAGTCTGGCAATAGTCAGCTAGAATCCCATTTCGAAACACTGCTGCGCGCCGAGACTCCTCGATCCGTCGAGCCGTTGCACTTTATCACAAAGGACAAGCCTTTCCCAACACTGGCTCAGGACAAAATAGCCCGGCTCGGTCTGGTCTATTCATATGTCATTGAGAGTCACCACAGCGGATCCTCTGAGCTCGCCCATATATATGCAGAGGTACGCGGCCCA